ATTCCATTCATGGAGGTTGATGAAGATGTAGACGTGTAGTGAACAGTCCTTTCCAATTCATCCCAAAGATGTTCAATTGTGTTTGTATCTGGAGACTGTGAGGGGATAACTGCAGCAAAGTAAAATCATTGTCATGTTGTTGTTGTGATAGGACACTAGTGTACTGTAGAGTTGTCTAGCTCTACTTGTTTGGTCAAATAATTTTTACACTGTATGTAGATTTTTATTCAGCATGTGTACTAAAATGTCAAATGAATGTAAAGATCACAAATAGAACAGAGAGAATAATTTGCTATTAATTAATTTAATAACATGAAATATTTCTAGAATTGTAGATTTTGTTTTGTTAAAAGAGTATAGTGAGAGGAACAAAAAATGCTATAATTTTAATAAATAGAGAAATTTTTAAACATTTCTGAAGTGAAATTTACTCTCTAATTTCTCCAGATATTTCATTGTATGTAAATTTGTCATAGGTTTAGTTGTTTCTGCCCGATCCCAATGGTCTTGAATGTCGTGTTGTGTTGTGTAAGACGATAGCACAGTGTTGTTATCGTCTTATGCAACACAACATGACATTCAAGTCCATTGGGATCGGGCAGAAATAATTAAACCTACGACAAATTTACATACAAATTTGGACAAATTTGAAATTTATCCAAAAGTGACATAACTTAAGGTATCAGAGCTAGACAAGTCTACATTATGTGACAGGATAGTGGGTGCAAGATATGCTGGGCAAAGCATTTCTAAAATTTTAGCTTTCCTGAGCTTTTCAAGCATTGTAGTTTCAAGGGAGTATTGAGAATGGTACAATGGTACAACAAAGAGAAAACATCCAGTCTTCAGCACTCCTGTGGAAGAAAATCTTTTGTTGATGCAAGAGGTTGGAGGAGGATAGGTAGAGTTGTGCAAGCAAACAGAGATCACAATCTCACAAATTACTTAAGATTTCAACCTTGACGGCAAAGAATCACTAGTCACATCTTGTCACAAATGAGCTACAACTATCTGCCAGTGTCTACCATTGAAAAACAACACAGCATGCTCCCATGGGCACAAGAAAATTGGTTGCTGCAGCTACTATTATATTAATGAATCAAGAGAAAAATTTAAGAAAATGACCATAAATTGTTTTCATCACATTTTTCTTTAATTTCCTGAACTCAGTGTTCATTTCACAACTTAAGTCAGTGGTATTCAATCTATGGGTCGCGACCCCATTTGGGGTCATGGAAAATTGTGATCACACTGTTAAAATGTTTGAATACCATTGACTTAAGTTGTTCCATTTTTGGAAAAATTTCACTTCAGAAATGTTTAAAAATTCCTCTATTTTTTAAAGGCATAGCATTTTTTGTTCCTCTCACTTTACTCTTTTAACAAAACAAAATCTACAATTTTAGAAATATTTCATGTTATTAAATTAATTAATAGCAAATTATTCTCTCTGCTCTATTTGTGATCTTTACATTCATTTGACATTTTAGTACACATGCTGAATGAAACTATCTATAGTGTAAAAGTCTATTTGAATAAACAAATAGAGCTAGACAACTCTACACCAGTGCTCTACAGGTTTACACTGCCAATCTAGCTGCTGCATTATGATGATGATTGTAATGTCTGAAGACTTTCCCATGCATGGAAGCAGCTGCTAAGATGCTTACATTATAATATTTATTTTTTATTTATTCCAATATAAGATTCTTCATTCTCTAGTTGACTCCTGAAGATGCACACAAAAATGCTTCAATGATTTTTACATTTTTATTCTGGTAAAAGCATTTTGTGTTAGACTGTATTACAATAAATCAGATGACAGTGTGAGTGCTCAATTGAAAGAGCACATTTTCATAAATTTTCTTGCTATAGAAGGAGTCAATCAGCAGAAATTCATTGATGAATTTCTGCTCAATAGACATTCAGCTGCAGTAAGACATTTGAATGGTATGAGCATTGCATATACAAATATACACAACCGAAACCCAAATATTAAGCAAATATACACCCACAACTGCCATAAATGATGTTCGTACATGCAACTGCATTGCATATACGTAACCCAGTTTGTTTCATTTATAAATACAACTAGGACTTAGCTAATAGTGAAAAACTTTTTAGTGCTGTTCGAAGTAACTGACATCGGATCCTACAAAGAAAGGTCAGTGTTGAGTGTTTTACATGTACAGGTACTTATTTTTAACACTATCTTGTTGGTCATTTTAAAGAAGACTTATATTTTATCTTCATGTTGTATATTGTGGGTCTCTAGTGAAATGTATAAAAAGGATTGAATTGGCCCAAAAATTTTTTGTATGGTTATTACAATGTTAATTTTTCTTTTAAAAAACTGGCCAAGATGCATCTTGTTTATGATGAAGCAAATTGTAAAGGTCGAGAAGCTACATGCTTATATGACGAGAGGTATTACAAGAAGCCGTCAAGAAGATTTGGCATGAGTCATGGCCACTTGTGCACATGGGCAAGCTATTCCTGAAATATTCCATATCTCCATGAATCCATGAATTGATGATGCAATCTCTGTATTGGTGTACAGTACATAGTTGCCATTTTGAGCACCTGCTGTAAATTCAAATAATTTGCTCTATTGCCAAAATAGTTCATTTGTGGACATGAGTTTATTAACAAACAATGATTGTTTTGGTTTCCTCTAAAGCTCTCTGGAGTTTGTTGGTTTGTTTTTGAAACAATCTGTATATACAGGGTTGTTGTTACAGTACCTTACACTCTCCACAAGGTTAGAAGCGAGCTTGTTGATGCTGAACTGTAGTGTAGAAAGGCAATGTAGCTTTTAGTGTTCTACTCTTTATTGACACTATAGCAACAACAGAATCTGGGGATTATACAGGGTGTCCCAGAATCTCAAGTTATTCTAAGACACCCTATATATCTATATTAATGATTTAAAATAATATAGAAGTTACAATACCAGTACTAATAAAGCATAGAAGTTACAAGGATAGCATTTATACATCTTTCTCTGTTTTCTTGACAAGTGAGAAGTTGTTCATTTACTTAACCAGAATGTATACACAGAAGATCCCATAAAAGTAGTAAAAGTTTAATTCTAAGTTATAAAAGTTTCTTAAAAGTACTCTCCTTTCCTTGATCACAAAATGTGGAAGAATTCTCCCAAGGTTTAAGTGATAGACAAGTTAACTCCAAAACATATATCCCTAAACTTCCTAAAATATACATCAATGAGACACAAGACCAAACCAAGAAGGAAAATATATATATACCGGTACAGAAGATAAAGATGAAAGGAACTAAACAATTAACACAAACAGGACTAATGATTGAGCTTAATATGATCATTAATCCTGTGTAATACTTGTGTTACCCAGGATTACATAAATATTAACCTTGTTCTCTTTGTTTAATATCATATTCATTTTATCATGCCATATTTATCCTCTTCTTGGTAATAAATCTCCTTGGTATTTTAATATTCAAGAATTTTTAGTGTATTCTTGCTATAGACTGAGAGGTAGATCCCTCAAAAATACTGATCTAGATCATTTTCATTCCATAGACAGAGAGGTTCTTTCTTAAAAAAGACTTCTTTTCATCTCTCTACATAACTTTCTTGGGGAATTTCTAGATTCTTTTTACAGAAACTTCTGCTAAGGATAATTAATTAGAATTAGAAGTTATAAATAGAAAGAAAGTATTTTAAGATTAGAAGGAGGCCCATTGGATAATGTATGCAATAAATCAGACCTGAAATATAAGGCTTCTCTAAAGTTAAGAAATATTTCTAGAAGTTAAAGTTGAGTCTTAAGGAAAGCTGGCTCTGTCTGATATCATTCCTATCTTTCTTAGGATTCTGTTTTTGTCTTTTGGAGACACTCCACCTCCTAAAAAGTATTTTGTACCGGATTACACTTTACCAGATTAATTATTTGCATAACTGACTTTGTAAAATAGCAGAGATGACAACTGTATCAATGATTCAAATGCAAATGTTTCAAATTTTAAGTAAATATTTTGACAAAGAGGTACTTAATTTTCATGTGTATGACTTGCAACAGATAAAAATTGCTTGAACAAAACCAAATACAAAACTTTGCAATAATTTGCTTGCCGTATAACCACTCTCCTAGTGTCTACTCCTAGTGAGTAACAACACAAACATCATGGTACTAACTCATTCATTGAGACCATTCACTGAACAAGTTTGTGACATATGACACTCCCAACACAATGGTTTTGTTACTTACATAGCTAGAGACTAAGCACCTCTATGGGATCAGAGATTGTACCATAAACATGAGTTTGTATTTGTAAATTGGCATATAACCCACATTCTTTCAAATTGGTCCACCAGTGATCGAGTGGATAAAATCACCAAACACTGGTTGTCAGTTGGGGTTTGTCCGTCACCTAGGGATTGGCCTTGCAGAGTTTTCCATGTTTTTCATGTGTTTAACATCTAAATAAGGGCTATTTTCCCATAGGAATTCACCCCTTGACAGACCCTTGATAAGGAATGTAACTCCCACGAGTTACATTCCTTATCAAATCAAAATAAAAAGTCAATCCCTTTCAAATTACCTTTTAAACACAGATAGGGGCTAATAATGTGACAAAAACCCGGAAAACTCCACGTGGCCATAACCAACTACCAACATTCGGTGGTCTTATCCACTCGGTCACTAGTGGGCACCAAAAAGGTAATTTGCTCAGTAGTTTGCTCACACATTAATAAATTGCAAAATGCAGCCTTTAAAAAATTACCTATTGATTTTAATGGCAATAATTATGACCCAATAAGCTTTTCCAGTATGGTGTGACAAATAGAATAAAGAAAAGCTCTCTTATACATTTGATTTTCTCATTCGAGACTACAGAATTCGTTGATTAGAATATAGAAAGGATTTGGAATAGATTAGAGATGTAAATTTTCTCATTATATTTAAAGAAACTTTGCATTTAAGCTCAGTCTAACACAATCATTCTTCTGTTGTCTGCAGACAATCCTGCTGTGGAGAATATAAAACCCATTGCGTCATCTCCTAAGATTACTCGAGGGGATGGTTCTACCGAAAGTGAGAACTTAAATGGAGATGCCCTAATCCAGCTGAGATCGAGCAACGAATGTACGCAAATGGGATCCCTAAATGTAAGTAGTCTTTGCCCGACCAGTAACATTTTCTTTTATTTTGATTGATTGTTATGTTTTGTCTTTTGATTTGTATTATGAAAAGTTAAAACGGCGGACGTAGTCGGTAGGGTGCCACGTGCAAAGGGAAGAGTTCACCTTCCTTACAGTAAATCAAACGCCATCAGGGGTGGATCCATGTCAGGGTTGATACGAAAAAAGAATGTTTGCGTTAGTTCCCCTTTCGATTCTTCTGGATTTGCCACCAAACCAACAGGAAACAGACTTTTATTTTGTCGCTGGTTGCTGTTTTCCGAGTAATCTAGTGGCTAATGCAAACGAGTACAATCTTCAAAGATGATTGGTTGAGCATTCTGAAATAATTCTGATAAATAACTCTGAGTTTTCTTTTTGATCGGCGATTTTCGAATCGATCGAAGGTTCGCGCCTCGTCAGCTGATTGGTTTCGCGGAGTTTTCCGGGTCTTCTTCACGTATCTAACACTAAATAGGTACCAATTTCCCAAGGAAAGTCCTTCCGAGAGGCACTTTTCTCTGAAAGACTTTCCTTGGAAAATGGCCCTTATTTAGGTGCTACTAACGTGAAGAAAACACGGAAACTCCACGTGGAGTTTTCCGGCCAGGCACGAACCCACGACTAACTACTAGTGTTCGGTGGTATCCACTCAGCTACTAGTGGACCCGCACGTGTTGGGAAGTCTTATATCATCGAAACAATCCATTCTTTTCTAATTCGGATTCGGGTTGATCGTCGAAACCATTTGTTTGTCCTTTTTTCAATATAACTAGGGTGTAAGCCTGAAAATACGCTAAACTATTGAAGGTAATTCAGTTTCTTCCATTAAAGTTTCACCTATTTATAAAAATAAATTACCAGTGTCCACAGTATATATATATATTTTACTCTTTCTGCCCTGTGGATCTTTTTAGTCGTACTCCTTATGGGTTGACCTTGTCCGGAATGGTGCGGCCCGATTGTCCACCATTGTTAGTTTTTTTCTTCAATCGAATATAGACAATACAATCTCGTTATGACTTCAATCTCCATCATAATAAACTTTTATTATGATGGAGATTGAAGAAAAAACCTGGCTGTTATATATAACAGCCAGGTTTTTTCTGTACGTATGGGTGTGTGGGAGGCACGATTTTGTCTTTGAAGCTTTCTTTGAAGCCATCTTTGAAGCTTAATAACTTCTGTGCTTTATATGGAAAATTTCTGAAATTTTGCAGGGCGGTTTGTGTATTAGGGGGATCGATACTATTAAATTTTGGTGATTGAAGGTCGATAGAGGGGATTAATTTATCTCGAATGGGGTCGGACTTAATGAAGATTTTACTGGTCATTACCATTTACAGCTTATTTTATAAAGCTCGTCTTTACCCTCGAAATTAAGGTTTTTGCCATTTTATAGTAATTAATAATATAAAAAGATTTTAAAATAAAATATCGTAACAGATGATGCCATACGCATTTTAAATTATTTTGCTGGCAAAGTTACGCAACTCGTTGCTGGATTTTTTAGAATTCTTTTTTGAATTCATATTTCATACTTTTGAATCCTTTTAACGCCTTAAACGCGCTTCTAAGGTACCGTTCTGGATCCTTAGAATATAAATGGGCCTACACGTGACTTTTTTTTAATACACTTTAGTTAAGTATTGACTACACCCTTTAAGAATGTTCCATGTCTAAAACAGTGGCATCCCTTCCGCTTGAAGTCGTTAGCGACATTTCTGTACTTTTTGATGGAAAGAAGGAAAACGAACTCTTCCCTGCACAAGATTGGGAGGATTTCTCTTAAATTGTCTTAATTAATCGGGCGATTTTCTGTCCACAGAAGACGACGTCGTCAGAGAATTCGGCGCTGTCCTTCCTGGAGGAGGGACGATCGAAAGCCAACGAAGAGGACGAAGGAAACGGCAATGAAACCCGCTCCGAAGACGACTTCGTCGACGAACGGAGAAGGAAGAGGAGGCTCGAACCTCCCTCCGTTTCCGCCGAGGCTGAGGCCGACGGTCCCGAGGGCAAACACTCTAGTCTGGAAGGCACTTCGGGGCGGAACGGCGTTTTTCTAGTCGACGCCCCGTCCGACGACTCCGACGGAACCGCCAAAGAGGGGGGCAAACGGGTGGCCCGACCGTGGAGGAGGTCCCCGGACGGCGCCTACTCTCGGGCCGCCGACGATCCCGACGCCGCCTTCGCTCCGCCTCCGCCCGAGGCCCCGGGAGACTTCGGGCCCGAGACCGGATGCCGCGCGGCCCAGCGCTCCGCCATCCAGTGGATCGGCGCGCCCGGCGCCGCGCTGCCCGCCTCCGCCTTCCTCCGACAGTTGTACGCTAATCGCGAATCGGTCATCCGCTCGGGGGCCCGGCCCGGTCGCCCCTCCTACTACGGCCGGGCCCCACCCGCCGCCGATTGCTACGCGGCTCAGACTGCGGCCGAAGCCTATGGCCCGCCGGCGGGCTACGCGCCGGCCCCCGACTGCTTCGCCGAGGCCCGCGGCGCCGCTCCATCGCCCGGCGACGAGTTTCGGCCTTCGCCGGTCGACGTCTCGGCCTTCTCGGAGGCGGGCCTGTCGCATCCGCGGCACTACGCGGCAGCCGAAGCGCCGCCCTCCCACCTGCCACTCAAACCGCGGGTCTTCGTTCGTCCGGGCTCCGTCGACCCCTCGGTCTACGATCGGCAACAGTCCTACGCTCCCCATGGCTTCGGCCCCTACCACCCCCCGACCAAATCGTCGCACCCGGCCAACGGAGTGGCCTGGTATCCCCGGCCCCACTCCTAACGTCGCTGCGCGGCCCGACTGCCCACGACCGCGGACTTTCGCTTCCGTTTGGGCGGAGCTCTTCTTCTCCCACCCTCCCGGAAGCGATCGGTTTCGGGGCGCCACCCGGAGGCTGTGATAGAGCGCGAAGCCGAATTTAACTAACGTGTTTGCGCGCGGGGCGAACTTCCGGGCCCTTGAAGGGGCCGGAAGACGCCACCCCGCGGGTTTTTTTTTCGTTTTTCGTAGGCCCGCGGACAGAGTGGAAAAGAGAGGCGCCGGTGAGTAAATGGGAACCCGAGTGACCGCTGATCGTTGGCAGTCGCCATTTTTATTAGAAGCTTGTGAAAACATTCCTAACGAGAAAAAAAAAAAAACGGAACCCGACGACTCGGAATGGGGCGGGGTGGCTCTTTCCCATTTCCGAAGCGGAAGCGACGGATTCCTCCTCCCCCTCCGGTGCCGCATCCGCTCCGGAGGAAGGGGTCGGCTTGGGATTCTCCGGACGAACTATGCAACTTTCCTACGGTTTTAAGGCCGGGTTTTGGGGGGACCCGAAGAGGGGTTGCGGGTGACGCGGGAGTTTTTAGATGCGCGAGAATCGGCGGTGGCCCGCCGCGTTCCTAAGTGAAGTGGTGCTCCGTTTTTCGGTCGTTTGCTCAATCTGTGATGTCCTTCCCGTAGTACAACTACGTCCGTCGCGGCTGCGCGGAGTCGTGCTTTATCGTTCGTGTACATAAACAGATGGATTATAAAGAGAAAAAAAAAAGAATTGTAATCGCCGTCTCGTTCGTTTGTCCGTTTGTCTATTTATATTTTGGTTTCTCCTTTTGAATAAAAACCGTTTGTTTTCCTTGATAGAATCATGTGTTCTTTTTCCCTTTTGGATCTCCTCACGCGCGGGACTTTGCCGGTACGCGAATTAGTTCTTAGGCACAGCTAAGAACAAAGGCCCCGTCTTCGTCTGGGCCAATAGCGTGCGCATATTAAAAACGAAATTTGAAATCGTCCGGACAGTTCATTTTCTACGTAAAGCGATAAGGCGAACCAAGGGGCCTTCGGTGTAATTAGCAGGAATGGAGAGTCGAGGAGTCGATACGTTACGGTCGATGATATGAGTATATGAAATCACGTGAATTTAATTCCTGCGCTGAAGTCCATGTTTCTCATATATGGCCCAAATTTAAATTTCGGCATTCTTACTACAGAAATTTATAAAGGATTGGTGGGCCTCAGGCAACTGACTTTTATGACCACAGGAAAACTCGCCATTGCACGGACGTTTTCGGCAAAGACTAAAAACAATCGAAACTGTGCCGAATTATTCATTTCTTATACACTGCCGAGTAAAGAGAACTCAACACGCAGACTACTTACAATATTTTCATGTTCTTAATAAATAGTTAATTACGATTACTTTAAACGTCTTAAAAAACGTAACGTAAGTAATTGAAGATCGCTCTACTCTACGATTACCAATATGGCAGCCATCGGCTTCGCTGTTGAATTTACCATTAACGGAGTCACTTATATTGTATAATTCGATAAAATAAAGACTTATCAGAGATGGACAAATTAAGTTATTCAAATAGTGATTGGGCAGAATGCATTTCGGGTCCGGGTCCCTTCAACTAACGTAAGATGACATTGGTTCAAATGAAAAATCCGTTCATAAATAATGTAGAATTATTAAATTCTGGATTACCTGAGGAGTATTTTGAATTTTATATTATTAATGGGTTGTAAATAAATAAAAATTGAATAAAACATAAAATAAAATTGATGGCCCATAAAAGCGCTATATATTGCAGCCCATTATTGTGAAATGGTCACAATATTGGGCTGCAATTTTAATTTATTTAAAATATATACTCTCTATCTCAAATTAATAGTGTCTTGCCCCTGTACATCACGCTTTTCCTGCTAGCAATAAGTCGTGCCGGTCATCTAACTGCTTTCCGGGAGAAATTTTTGAATTGAAATAACATGACTTCCGGTTGGGATCGGTAGTTCGTATATAGTTAATCGGGGCCTCTTGTCCGTAAGATTATGTAGAATGTTGAAATGTATTTGTGTTATTAAATGAATGAACGTGTTTCTTATTAACTATATACTTCTGGCGAAATACAAATAAACACTAACATTTAATACTTTGAGGTGTAATGTAAATTTGTAATCCTCGATTATGTATATTGCATTCATCTATAATTGCATAGAATACTGCAACTCGACATTTTGAGAGACAGAAAAGACACTGTTGCATTACTCACACCTTTTCTCTTTATCGTTAACAAATTAAAAAATCCAGTAATGAGTTTCTTAATTAACTCCTTACCCCTAGACCTTTAATTACCAAAATTTAATAGCATCGATTTCCCTAATACACAAACCTTCCTGTAAAATTTCAAAAATTTTCGACATAAAGCACGAGAGTTATTAAGCTTCAAACAGGGTGAACAAAATCGTACCCCATACACACTAACTAACATCCATTTCAACAAGAAAAAAACTCGAATCATTTTGCAATTCTCTACGTTTTAAGTCCAAAAATGTAAATATCTTGGGGGTCATGTTTTGACCTCTCGCCATATTTTCCCTGTTATTGTGTATTTTAGATTCTTACTGCGATTTGTGGACATTTGGCATCGTATTACACCAGATGTTAATCGGAGAAACACCAATGGACATTTATTTGCAACAAGTTATGAACATTGATAATATCAACTTGAACTCCTTATCGAGATAATAAAAAGCAAGTCAGCATTTTTACTTTTCCGCTGTTATATATAATTACGAGAGTTAAACAAAATGATCATAGAGCGGCACAGAGCTCTATAGAAGAACTCAGCCATACGTGTAGTGTTAATTAAAGTGCCAAATTTGACCATTAAATTTATGAAATAATCCTTAATAAACTTTTTTTGCCATATAAAATATGTAAACAAATTTATTTCGTAAATTTGATTACATATTTTATATGGCAAAAAAGTTACTGAAGCTAAAAAAATCGCTTGCTGCACAACTTTTGTTCTTTGGTTGTAGCATGGTCTTTTTACCTATTGGTCTGTCAAATGATGACGATTTCTCTTGATACAGTCGACCCCCCCTATAACACTTGATAATTCCGTTTTATATGAATTCCATGTTGTACGAGTCGCTTACGTGTGCCGGGTTGTGAACGGCTTACGTATTTGTAAAATCTAAGTGACTCGTACAACATGGAATTCATATAAAACGGAATAATCAACAGTGTTATGGGGGGGGTCGGCTGTACATTCAAATGGTAATATTCTAATTGACAGAAGACGCAAAGACTAGCAGTTCAGTTAAGGTCTATAAACACAAGATCAGGACGCCATTGTTCCTTATGGAGTCGCCATTTTGGTTCCTTAGTTCCATTGTCATGGTATAGATTTCATGCTCTGTACAGGAGATATACAGGTACATGGTTACATTTTATTTATAAACTGTGAAGCCAATACATCATCTGTATTTTACAGTTTAGTTTATGATGAAAATGGGTGTTTATGGAAAAGTTAGTTTTACTCGGAAATTTAGAATTTACCAAATAGAATAACTAGAAATATAATTTAAAACAAAGGGATGGCATATTTACAATAATATGCAATTGTGAGAACTTAGGGGCTAATATTTTAAGTTGAATATAAAATTCTAAAATTTGTCAGACAGGAAACATTTGGGTTAGTCACAAACGAACCTTTTTTCGATTTTAAAGGAAGTTCCCGAGGAGAGATGCTGATTTTTATATCAACTCCACAATGAAGTTCATTGTTTCTTCTCTTCTCAGATGCCTCAAATAGCCCCAGATGATTAGTCGGACGAATATCCTATAAACAGGGTTTACATCAACGTCTAGAGAGCTGGAATTGGAAACATAACTCTCTAGAAAGTTGTCCGAATGAAAAGGAGTTTCCTTCTAAATGCAGGAAAACGCCTCAGACTCAGAAGAAAATAAAGGAAAGAAATAAGGTATTGCATTTGACTGTAACACTAAGCTCTCTCTCAAGATAGGTTTGGTTTTATTCAGTTATGGCAACGCAACACTTGGACTATCTGCCTAGGGCTCTGCCTTTCGGGAGATGTTTTTAAGGGTAACTGCCCCTATTCAGGCGTTACAGACGTGGAGGAAGGACTTTCTAAGGGCAATTGCCCCTATTCAGAGATTACAGACGTGGAGGGAGGACTTTTTAAGGGCAACTGCCCCTATTCAGAGATTACAGATGTGAAGAAAACCCAGAAAACTCCACATGGCCAGCCCGTTCAAGCGAGACGCGAACCCACGACTGAACTCCCAGTGTTCAGGGTACGAAGATCGCTTGGCTACTGGTGGGCCCCATTATGGATTCGACCAGGCCCACAATGGGGTAGTCGGTTAATGTGGGATAAGACCCAACATATCCCGCCAGACACGAAAAAATACCTAAAGTTTTTTGACCCGCCCGGAATCTCCATGTTAATTGCTCGGCCATCCGCCCGTCAGTAGAACGCCATTATTAATATCGATTAAATTTTATTTATCTTTATAAAATTATTGAAAACATTAAACAACATCAAATATTCTATTTACAATTATCAATATTTGATATGTATTTTAAATACCGAGATATTTTAATATTGCGAAAGGTGGCGTTCGAATCTCATAACTTCAGAAATGGCGACGTTAAGTGGTGAGTGGTTTGTTTACTGGAAACGTTTAACACGTTTCTAGTCGATACTATTTAATAATTATTGGAAAAATATGATCCAGGTAAAGATTTTCGCCAAATAACAAACGTGTGAAATGTTTTAATTTACTCGAGTTTTGAAAGTGGAAGATTCATTTATGTTTTGGTTTCGATTTCCATAACAAACACTGCGAGGCGCGATTCTCCTCCGTTATTCCCTCTTCCGATGCTCACAAAGGAATTCTAAACAAAGGATTTATTTAAAATGCCGTTGGTCATTTTAATGCGGATTATAATTATCTCGAGGTTACTAAGCAAAATTAGGAAATTCGATCGTTAAGCGTGCATTTGACGCGTACGCGAAGTAACGCTTACAAATACGAAACTACCACGTGGTTCCAACACGTGCGATTGCAGCCCGAGTCTCCCGGTTTGAGAGTATCTCGATGACGAATTTGAGAAGCATGTGGATCGGATGTCGATTCCGTACGACTTGGCCACTTTGTGGTTCGACTTGACAACATCCGACATTGCGAAATGGAAAATCGTTCTGGCCGAAAAATCCTTTCAAGTGGGTCTCTTTAATGACTTTCAATCGCCGGTGTGGGTCCATTGGTACCGGAATGAATAGAATCACCAAATGCCGGTGGTCGGTTTGTGGTTGATTTACTGCTCAGCTGCACAGAGTTTCCGTTTTCTTTCTGCTTTCCCGTACTGTCGTTCTTTGTCGACACCTGGACTTTTGGTAGGTACAGTACTCTGTTGGCAGATCGTGTTTATGTTGTCTTATCTTGTCAATTTGATCTAATTCGGAATGATGTGGAGAAAAAGTTAAAACTTTTGTGAAAAATGGACAATTTCTAAATAACCTATGAGGAGATTTTGTTCTGCTTTTCTGCTTTAAGCATTTCAATTTTGCTCAAAAGATTTGGTATCCCAGGTGTAAAATGATGGTGGCCAAAGTGCCTGTCCAACAACAGGCACTTCGGAGACTCGATTTGAATTCAGATTGGACTCGTGGAAGTTTTGTGGGTTCTGTACCGGTGCAGAGCAATGTCTGCCATTTGTCAACAGACCATGCAATAGCACAAAAAAGTTCTTGCTGCCTGCAGACAAGAAAGAATCGAGATAAAATTATCAAGTGAAAAGCAAATAAAAATATGGGGCAAAACTTGTAGGAAAAGAAGACTGTATTGTATAGAGTTTAGTTGGCATCCACATAGCAATTTGGTAAAGGAATTGATCAGTTTGCATCTCTAGGATCTAGATTCAAGTTTGGGTTAATCATGGGAATTTATCATTTACCAAAATAAACTCGTAAAGCATAACATATTTTTTATGAGTTTTGTTTCAGACAAGATGTTAGAAGGGAAACTCAAAGTTTAATGATACTATGATGCTACACATTAATGATATGTTAAATATCAGAATAGCATTAATTAAATCACACTATCATCCTTGTAATGGCATCTATTGAAAAACAAAAACATTCAACCCAATACATTATGAGATAAATGAGAATAATCTTTTTCGGAATAAAATAAAATAAATAATAATAATAAACAGAGTAATCGTTAAAGCAAATTTAGCAGCAGGCAGCTATTTAATAAGGAATAACCTAACTTTTAGCTATGAAGTTTATTGAATCTTAATATTAGAATATAGGAAATGATAAATCTAACTAGTTATGTAATGCTGTATAAGCATGTAGTCAGAGCGAGGCTGCTCGCACCTTCATTTTCTAGATTATGAGGAAAAAAAGAGAAAAAAAAAATCATTCGTTCTCAACAATATATTTGATTTCTATTGTATCATTTAAAGGTACAAATATAAGGTCAGAATAATCTATTAATTAATTGCTATGCCAACGTATCTTGAAATTTTGTCTATCACTATGGGCCTTGGACTTACAGATTGACTCGTAGCAATCTTTATTGTAACTGTTTAAAATATTATGTCAGTTATTTTTTTTAACTTGACTGAATGCAACATAGGTAAGACCGATAGCTGTCTCTTTTTTACCTATATCTATTTTGATTTTTGGAAGAGTTAATCCCTGTGATTTTGTGTATAGTCATAGAGTATGTCATAGGTATAGTCATAGAGTCATAGGTAAGGGGAAACTATGAGATCGCAATATACTGCCATCGTTTGAAGAGCATGTTATGGGAATTATTGGAAACAGATTACCATTGATGAAAGGTCCCTGATAGCTATCAAATTCCACTAAAATAAACAGAGGAAGAGCTGGAGGGTGAGCATTAGGAGCATATATAATGTAGCATATAGTTCCTAGTGAACCATTGACAAGACCTCCTTGCACCCATAAGTTGACTCTCAGCATGATTCTGGCATTAACTGAAAGATTCAAATACTTGGAGAGACCAAGAGCTGAGTCATTTTTAATGAAGGTAGAGCAATATTTGGAGTGTTTTCAAATGCTATATAAGCAACAGGGCACCCAGTTGACTGCAAGTAGTCTTTGTTGCTTTATTTAACTTGCTCGTTTGTTGGATATAGCTCTACTGCCATTTGGAACTGATCAAGTTCATCTCTAGATAAATAGGCTTGATAAATAGACGCTGCCATGTAGGACATAGCCTTAGTCAGCTCATTTTGACCTCTAATACTGAAGAAAAATGCGACCTTCATTTTGACACCTATCTCCAGTTCTACAAAAATTGATCATTTTTGAGAGTTGAAATTTTAATCAGTTCATCCTTGAGTAACGATGAGTCATCGTAGAAAATTTCAAGATCAGATTAATTCATTCCAGAGTTATAATATTGACAAGGAATGCATGACGTCAAGTGTTAGTCATCACTCGGTTTCGCCTCACTCCAACAATGAAATAACCAGTTCAACTTTATATTGATAAATCTATATAAATCTATACAGTCTATGCCAAATTAATAGGTTAAATTAATTGTTATCATACTTAAAATCAGTTTAATATGGACCCGGCCTTCAGAGCCTATTATTGATTTAATGTCTGTACGCCTTTCCATATTCATTTTAACGAGCTCACTGTTTATTTATTTGTTTGTTGTCCCAAACAGAAGTTAAATTTCCACATTAGTTTTTGGGTTTGGTTAAAGTTGAATTTTAATTAATAAAATATATGAATTTGGCCTAAAGATTACATTAAAATCACATTATTGTGTAAAGATTAATAATTAGAAACTGATTTTGAATTTAGTTAAATAAATTCAAAATTCCGAAAGAGAAGATCGATTCTGTACACGACTAAATATAGCTTGAAAAATAGTCGTTGGCTAACAGTTTGGGTTTTATTTATATTACAGTTAACCCTCCATATCCGTGGGTTTAATTGAACACAAATTGAAAATATTTGGAAAAAATTCCAGAAAGTTTCGAAACTTGAATCTGTTGTGCGCCAAGCACTACACTAAACCCATGCAAATTAACCCTCTGTTGCCCTAAAAATTTCAAAACATTATTTTTTTGGACTCCAAAGAACAAAACACTTTGCATCAGATAAAAACACAAAATTTGCAAACGACAAATTATATTTGAACAGTTGGCTATGTTTTAAATTAAAGAATTAAAGACAAGTTGTAATACTTATGGAAATATTAAGGTAATTTGTAAATTTATTAATTTTATTATAACAAATTTATTTGTTTCATTTCCAGGATCTAGTGACAGTGAATCAGAATTTAGCAGGCCATGTTTCAAAAGCTGGAGCAAAGAGGACCTTCCCCAACAACAAACGGGTAAACTAAAATTATTTGATATAGTGTTTCCTTGGCAAAATTAATAATAATGCAAAGTATTGTTACAAAATTTATCTAGCCATTTAAATTTCTTACGTAGAATCGATTATGTTGTTTGCAATGTTTTCTAGGGATGTTTATTCACTTAATGTCTAAGTTACAATTCATTCTGTCTAGGCAGGCAGTTTGAGTGGGGGATTGCACAAAATCTTTTTTATAAACATTATTTCTCCATTTAAAATTTTTAATAAAAAATATAGATCTAATATAATAAATTTTGTATGAAGTGAGAATATCGGTAATCCTGATTATGCTAGTAATAACCGTCTCGTCGTTTCATGTCGGAAATCTAGTGTAGAAAGTAATTGCAACTTTCCCAGGTAAGTTTTCTTCAGCAATTGTGGTTAAGCTACAGTTTTTGGTCATTTGTGATGGCCAAAGAAAAGAATATAAACAACACTCAATTGGAGAAGATTTTGGTGGCATTTTCTTTTATGAACTTTGATTCAGAAAGTTAATTATTTGCTGCTTCTTTACTAAGCTGGGTGTTGAGGGACAGGACCTGATGCACTTGGGCTAGACCTTCTAACAAAAAAACTTTTGAGGTTTTTTGTTTGCTCGGATCTGATTCCAGGTCCTTTGACTTGGTAGATAAACACTTTAGTTGTCTCAGCCATCAAAGAAAGTAAAGCTAAGAAAAAGAAAAAGATTATCTTTGAATATTTAAAACTTTTTACATCTTTCAACAGAACAATTTTTCTAGCTGTCAGGAGAATGCACTAGTGTTAAAAATTCTGGGGGAGTTGTTGCAGCTCTGACAATAGTCACAAACTTGTATTTAGGTCTTTAGTTACACATCTGATAAACTGTAAACATTATTACAGTTATATGCAATTACAGTAAAATAAGGGTACGTTCGTAAAGTCGAATGAGTTAAATGCATTAGTAACAAATTGTTCTAAAAGTAGTAGTCTTGCTCAGTGCACATACTCTGCAGTGATGACGTTTCAAATGAAACTCTAACAAAGTTTATGAAGGAAAGAGTTAGTTCACTTTGTTAAGAAAATGGCGGCCGGCGATATCGATGTTTCTAAATCTACTCGAGTGTTTAACCTGTGAATTAAAAGGTGAAATGATAGAAATAACTGTCCACCCGAAGCAATCTAAGAAAAATATTTCGGATAAGGCTACACTAGCAACATTCATATCTTTGATTTTAGAAACAGCCATTTAGTTATAAACAAATCGTTCGAAAAGTCTAACGAAATAAGAATAACGATGACATTATTCTCATTTAACTCATTCGACTTTACAAAAAATTGCAGTTTAGTACACAAGTCATTAACCAAGCTTATCTTCTGTTAGTTAAATTATTGATATTTATCATTTGACAAATACTAAAAGTTGGTTAAATTAATATGCTTCAATGTCCTAATTTATTGTAATCTTATTTCATCCACTAGTACATATCTATTAGCAGGACTTATTAAACTGGCTCTAAGGATACTGCAACTCAGTTTCACAGATTAGAAAATTGTTGTTTTATTTAATTTACCTGGACACACAGAGGGAGGGGAGAGTGTGGCGTATAAAGAGAAAGATAGAAACAGGTTGAGAAGTATAAGTCAAGATAAACAATTGGAGATGTAAGTTTTGGAACAGTGTTTTAATGTAAAAAACGAAGTAAAGTTAATGTGTAACCTAATAGTTTATGTTTTAATATAGGTATTTGTGTGAAAAGTTACTGTTAATAATGTTTAAATTTAATTGCTTGGTGGAAATCGGAAATGGAAAGAATTAGCCCTGAAATTGTAAGAATTTTATATTTTTGTAGGGAAATTTTAAATTTTGTATAGAAAAATTTATTTTTAATTTTTATGTAGAATGTATCATATAAATACCTGCTGATGAGGGACGAACAAGTCCGAAACACAATGTTAAAATGTATGTGTCCAGGTAAATTAAATAAAACAACAGTTTTCGAATTTGTGAAACTGAGTTGCAGTATTCTTAGCGCCAGTTTAATAAGTTTTGTTAATAGATACGTACTAGTGGACAAAATAAGATTACTAAAAGTTGGTATTTCAGCATTCTAAAATGTAAATTATTGGTATCAATATTGTAAAAATTTATCGGTTTTGGTTTAATGTATCATTTGTCAGTTTATTACTTTAAAAACAATGCAATTTAGGCATTATGATTATCATCAAAACAAGAAAAGTTATAGTCAATATTTTCAAAAGGTTGCATTTTTGATTATGCATGAAACATTTTTCAGTTCATAAAAAAATACATTTGTGTTTTTAGAAATATTAATTCAGTTATTAAAAATTGATTGTTCTTTATGTTACAGAAAACTATGCAAATGACTGTGATGACGATCAGAATTTGGAGTCGGACGATGAAATAAACAGTTTGGGATTCAAAGGTTTCAAAAGAAGTGAGTTATATTTAAATATTTATTTAATTATAATTTAGAAGTTAACAATTTAATTAACTTATACCAGTCTGTGATAAAATTAGAAGCCATAAGCAATTGTGTGTTGATTTGAAAATAAAATTTCAAAAATTAAAGTTTTAATAATTTTTAAAAATTGAATCTTGAACATTTTTTTTTTTTTTTTAATAGTATTGATATTTGAAGTTTCTATCAAAATTAATGTTATCATAGAGCACAGTAGCACCCTATGGTAGAGCTCAGCCACATGTCTAATGTTAAAGTGTAGGACTTAATGAAAATTTTAATAGTTATTGATATTTGAAGTTTCTATCAAAATTAATGTTATCATAGAGCACAGTAGCACCCTATGGTAGAGCTCAGCCACATGTCTAATGTTAAAGTGTCAAATTTGACCATTAATATCAAGTCCAACGAACCAATTTGGATGAAATTTAAAATATTTAGTGTCTGCAACGAGGGCTTAAATTTTGACTGTCATGTAAATATATCACGCATTATGAATGTCACACGAGTTATCATGATAACTATTCTTGTATGAAGTTATTGATGAATGAAAAATACTTGAAATCCCATTTAAAAAAAATGGTGAAACCAAGTTGAAAAAGTAGAGCTCAGCAAAAACATTTAAATAAACGAAACTTTTGAAAAGTTGTGGCATAAGAATAGTGCATCCAGATTTGACAGTAAGACTCTACACGTGAATAAAATGCACATCACACAGACTACGACGACAGGAAGTTTTGGATGAAGCAATGTCACTGTGATAATAAATTTGAAAAATAAGCATCGTCACAGAAAAAGGCTTTACTTTATGCCTCAAGCTTTTTTTGCTGATACTTCTCAAAGATGTTCTAATGTTTAACCAAATTAATATAGATGTAATGATGTTAAGGCATGAAGTAAAGCTTAAAGACTTTTTATGTGACGATGCTTACTGTTCCAATTTATTATCACCTAACAATATTGGTGATATTGTTCCATCCAAAACTTCCTGTAGTTGTAGTCTGTGTAATGTGCATTTTATTCACATGTCGCGTCTTACTGTCAAAGCTGGATAGACTATTCTTATGCCACTACTTTCAAAAGTTTCCTTTATTTAAATGTTTTTGCTGAGCTCTACTTTTTCAATTTGGTTTCACCAGTTTTTTATGGGATGTACAGAAGGTTTATAACAAGAGTAATAACACAGGATGTCCAAAAAGTTAATGTGCAGTAAAATTTTAATAAAAGTGAAGTTTTACATACAGTATTGCAGTTTCTCTTATGGCAAATGCTGAAAATGTCTCCTAGAGATCCCAAAATCTGGGAAAACAAGGTTTGGAGACCTAGTGGGCCAGATTACTCAATGGGTAAAGAAGTCTTCCAAAAATCAGAAGCCTACAAACGAGCAGTGATGCTGTCTATCATAAAACAGAAATGCAGGACGTATAACTAACAGGTCTTGTGTGAGGGGCTAGCTTGGGATATGGAGTAGTTAAGACTCTTGTATCACTTATTTGGCAGCTATTCGTTGAGAATAGTTCTCAGTTTGTTCAAAAGAATAGTTTTTCTATTTAAAGAAATCGAGTGCAGAGGGACTTACAGTTTGAATGTAAAACAAAAGCGGAATTAGATGATCATGTAATCACCCTTTTCCTTATCAAGATTCCCGACACCAGTTAATTAGTTATTTTACACGTGGATTAACACACATTATCCCTAACTTGTGAGTAGGAGGAGCATAGGAAATTTGAATACGAATGAGTATGAATAGCCAACATTAACCAAACCATTATTATATAATAAACCACAACATTCAATAAATCAAAAATATCAAAAGTATACAAATGAATGAATCTAAACCTAAATCTAAACTAATAACTTAACCTAATCTTATTCTAAACCTGATGCATGAGAGAGAGTTTACATCGATCTAACTGTGATCATATTACCTTCTCCAGGTCTTTCAAATATTTCACTGTATGAGAGTCTTCTTCAATTATGGATATTCTTGTAATATTTTCTATGGCAAGTTCTTTAAATAACTTCTCTTTTAACAATCTTGTCGTATACTTCATATGTAGTGCTATATATTTTTTTACTTTCATTTAACGAATTCATATAACAGACTTGTATGATGGACACTGTATGACAATATCTTTTCATATGTCGGTCTCTCTTCGTGTGGCAATACCTCTTTCGACGGACTGCCTCGAATGGCAGGAAAATGTCCCTTTTATTGTCTTCCAGTAGCATGTGCAAAACTCGACTCATCGTGAGTTGGCCGTGGAAAGGAAATCAACTTCTTTTCAAAATCGAAAATTGAAGTTTAAAATATTATTTTCTATTAATTTATAAATCTTTTTCTCTACTTTGTTACTTTGCTCAAAATGACTTTCCTTTTGATTTCCAGATTCTCACACTTGTATGCAGTGCCATACATATAAGTTTAACGTCATTACAAATTTCTCCCTGCAGATAACTTTTTGGACACCTCATATAGAGAATAGCAAATTCCAAACTGATACTTGTTGAAAAAATTAGAGTAACAGAATTTATAAATTTTTTATTTTTATTTTGTTTGAATATGAAATAAAATATTTTTGGTATTCTCTTGATCTCTTTCCAACATTTTTCAACAGTTACTTTTATGTTTAACAAACTATTCAGCTTTATTAATCATTATTATTACTTTTAGTTTAGTTTATTTTAATTCAGTTCTTTAATATACATATTCTAACCCTGACATTGCTGTTGGATAAACCATTTAGCAAACACAAACTATCTACATGGCATCTTTTCCAAATAATTAATAAACAGTTTTGTTAAATAAAAATCATTGATAAGTAATATAAAAGCAATTTAATCAAGTAAAATAATACTACAACAATAATTTTTTAATACATTCTTCCATAATAATCATTTTAAAAAACTTATTTAATTCTGTCCACTGGAACTTTGTGTGCATATAATTTACATTAGTCTTACACTCTAGATTTACACCTACGAAAGACTATAAATTGATGCATAAAACAGAACATATATACAAATTTCTAAATGTAATACACTGTATTATTGTTGACATAACTGAAAGAAATTTACATTATTTGCTTTTAGCTCAAACCTAGTAAGGTTCCTGATCATAATTCTATACTGTGTCCAATAATAGATTATTAACTCGTTAACTGTATTATGTTACAATTTACTAGCTATACATGACAAGAATTCACTTCATGCTTCACCAATGTTTATTCATATCTATTTTGTACAAATGCATTTTGACTCAACATTCTTGTTGGCTAAAACAGACACAAAAATAAAGGTTTAAAAATATATATTTATGTTCTGACAAAACAGCAACTTACTGTATGTTGTTTGTACAATATATAAAAACAGATAAAAAGTTAAAACATTGGTGTATTTGAAGCATTAAATATGAAAGTGATGATGATGTAGTGTTGAGACAAGCATCTTAATTTGAATATTATCCTAAAAAATTATACATTATTAGTTCATTATTGCAACATACTATTCATAACGATCAAATGATCAAATTAATATATCCTAATTACAACTAATCATGTACTATACCTTTATTAATACTTTTGACATTATTGATATCTGTATAATTTGGTGTAATTTGTAGCTATCGTATTCATATAAACATGTTAAAAGAGACTCATATAATACGGTAAAACGTCATCGCCAACTCGTGTCGCGACAGGATTGGTCTTATGTAGACCAATAGCAGATATTGCACAAACCATTGAGTTTAAATGAGCAGCGGACCTACCAAAAACCATTTATTATTTAACGGCCATAAAAATTATATTTATATTAATGATGTCTCCAAAATTCAGCAAATGTTTCGCAGAAAAATAATTTATCAGGAAACACGCACCCACCATTCGATGCATCGCTCCACGACTAAAACAAGCTTAAGCAATGGCGTTGTTGAACAGTGCATACTTGATAAGTAATCCTACAATTTTTTGTTTATAGCATAGTTTATATGGATTATTCCAAAAAAATTATACGTGTTTTGGAAATGTTTAGTCAAATTAGTCTAGAATCGATTAATTTTATGGAAGAAAATTTTTCAAACAGCTGTAGTCCCAAAACTGCATAAGTGCCGGGCTGTGATTGGCTCATGTATTTAAGTGATCATAAAACACGAATTCATATAAAACAGAACATATCTATCGTATTATAGGGGGGTCTACTGTACTCACTTCCATTACTTTCACATAAGTCTTGAGTACAAATCAGTGATACTTTCCAATGATGCTTTGTTGCAAATACAGTATTGTTTATAGTATTGAGGTCTTACTAAGATGGATATATCGTATAATGCCTAAAGTGCTATTCTATGGGAAGCATTGTCAAAACATGAAGTGAATCCTTGTATGTAGCTGGTTAATACGGTTAACCTAAAACAACAATGAGATACACAAGCCCTTAAGGAATAACAACATATTTAACTTTGTTAATTTACTAATGGATTTATTTCTTCTAATGATAAGTCATTAATGTTGCAATTGATGACTTAGTAGTTGATGTGAAAGCTATTTACTGTTTAGCCAGTTCCTCATGTTTTACTAGAAAATGGCTAAACAGTAAATAGCTTACAGATAAAAAATTCATAAATATAACTTATTTTGGATTTTTTACTAATCATTTTGCAAACAACTTAGTTAATTAGTTGGTATTTAAATGAGGACACTATTTAAAAATTTGTAACAATGATGTAAGATGTATGCCTGTTTAGATCTATATGACTCCATCAGTCCAATAAATATTAAAAAATGTTAAAAATTAATCAAGATTAAATGTTTTCAAGATGTTTCGCTTTATCATCAAATCACAATTACTGATTCAAATAAAGAATGATTTATCAAAAAATATTTTAACTGTGCTATTTGATCGTTCAAAGGTAGTACCTTACTGAAAATTTGCATTAAGCCATAAAACAAACCTCTTACAAACTAATCTGTTAAAATGAAAGCATGCCATATAATACAGAAGTAAAATAAAATAAAATAATCCTTTATATTGAATTAACAACATGTAAATAAAAAAGGAAGTGATGAAAAGTAATAAAATTCTAACAGCTCTCTATCAGTTACTAAGTGTTTTGTCATGTTTTAGCACCACACACAGTTCCAAATCATTTCCTTCTTGTTTGTTTATGTTGTTATTAAAGCTGACGCTGTTTTTAACATTGGAAGTATAAGTTTTGTTTTTTTATTTGTATTGGTAATTAATGCTTTGGCCAAGATCATGTTTGAATGGTCTTTGTGTAAGTCATATTGACATTCCATTAATCTATCTCATAATATTTGGTGGTAAGTGCTCCCTGTATATCATTTGGTAATTCCCTGGTTTCCCATTTCTATTGGTGTTTCATACACTCCTGTCTTTAGTATATTATCCATTGGGCTGTTTTACATTTTTGACAAAAGTTCATATGCTGTCAGAGGTCTTATCATGATTAATCTGATATTTTGATTTGATTAGCTCCTTTGCACTTGGTTGATTTCATTAGACATATCTGTAGTCAGCACAATGAGAGATTGCACTTAGTCAGTACTAACTGTGCCCATTTTAGGGGAGATAGGGTGACAGGATAGTATTCTCTACTTCAAAAATTTTTTGTACTGGATTTGTTAAAATGTTTTCAAGGAAAAAAATTCCAAGACTCAACAGAAAACAATTTCTGTCAAAGTAAAAATGCATGTGACTTACTATTAAATCCATAGATCAATCACCTCCAGCCTTACCCTACTTCCTAATTATCATCTAGGCTACAGAGGGTTTATTTTTGTTTACACAAAGGCACTTTTTGTTCAAAAATGACATATTGTAATTGATAAAATTTGTATAGTGTAAGTACTAGCAAAATTACAATAGAACTATTCCATCTTATCACCCTATCTCCCTTAAAATAGACAGAGTTAGTATTGACTAAGTGCAATCTCTCATTGTGTCAACTATTTGTACTATTTACTCGTGAGAAACGCATTAAATTTATTATTATTATTATTTGAATTTATTGTTTATTTGCTGTTAATTTACCACTTCTGTAGACTGGCTTTTTCCTCACAGAATGGACTTGGGAAAAAGCTGGTATTGATTATTGATTGTCACTCTGAATTAAAAGTGTATAGTTTTCATTTTATTAGAATACGATAGTGAAGACGAAAACGAATCTTCTAAGAAACGAAAAAGACAAGAACAAAATATGGCCTCGGCTCCTAGTGGATATAACCCCATTGTTAAAAATATGATGGTAAGGTTTTTCTATTGTCATTAAAAATGTATTTTTGTAATTTTGTGATATCTTACACATTGTTTTATTTTTGGTGCTGAATTTATAATTTTAAACAGATTATAAAGAACTAAATACATAATATAAACTCTAATAGAGCATGTTCAAAAAGTTACAGGAATGAGTCAAAAATTAAATTGTTAGGATATAAAGAAATTTATGTAATATTTTTTTTAAATAATTATCTCAAACTTTGACACATTTTTTTCAACAATTTCTTTTAATTTGGGTAAATAAAAACATCATTAGGATCTAATTTGGAATACAGTGAAAACTGCTTAGGCGACCACCTGCATTCGACGGGCACCTGTTAAAACAGGCAAAAATTTCTGGCACCGAATAGTTTATCCATAGAGTCTTCGTATAAGTAACCTGTATTAAACAACCACCTGTGTAACACAACCACGGGCATCGATTTTTTGTCCGAAACAACTTACAACAACTGTAATAAGCGACCACTTCCATGAATATATCTGGTCTAAACTATTGTTCAACAACGTTTCTCCCCTCCTAATAAAATGAATTAGTCTAAACTCTCGTTCAAACCCACCTCAGGCACTTCTCCCACCCTTGAAATTAGGTGCAGGTGTTAATGAATTAGTCTAGCAACAAAGGAAATTCATTTCAGTTTGTTCGAAATTGTCCAAAAAATGAAAGAAATGCAAAGTGCTGTCGTTAGAAGATCGTGTTAAAGTTATCACAACAGCAATTAGCCGCGAAGTTTAACTGTGGGAAAACGAAATTTATTTTACCGTAGACCTATAGTGTTTTCCTTGGGGGTATAAAATATTGTACACGATACAATTAATCGACTGATCTCATCGTTTGATAAAATTTATTTATTTATTTATTTTGAATTTGCTCATATACAGTACATAAATAGTTTCTGTATCAACCTACCTTATTTCCGTGATATTTTTAGAAAAATAATATCAGTAATTTTCGCACACAAAATATTCAAAAAACAATAAACGCATTAATGCAAAAATCAGTTTTACAGGCAACCTTCGTTTTTCGATTCTGCAATGACAATCGCAGAATGTAATGAAATCGTATAATGAGAAAAAATAATAAAATCATTTTATTATTAATTAATCATTTTTCTTATTATACTTAAGAAAAGATTAAATATTAAAAAACACAGTATTTTTAAAGTTAAAAATAAGATTAAGCAAATACCAAAACCAAAGTGATGTAGAGATATGACACACTTGTATATTGATGACGTAATACACATAACTGAGGAGCCAACGAAAACAACCAAGTTGAATTAATTAAATGGGAAAAAAGAAAGTGTGCATTATAATCAAGAAAATGCGCTATTGTATTAATCTTTAAAATATTGGTATTAAATATGTCTTGTCAAATTACGACAACTCTTGTAAATTGAGTTATCCGATAAGAATAAAATACAATACCAATAAAGCCCTATTGTTGAAATAATTCACATATTTTTGCTCACCTCTAATTTTGCTTAGTAGAAAGGGCTAAAAAGTGTGCAAAATACGTACGGAAATACGGTATTACAGCACCACCTGTCTAAAAGACCACTTTTTGAAGGAACCATGGGTGGTCCCCATAGACAGGTTTTACTGTATAGGATTGTTGGGGAAATCTAGCAGCTTTATTTAATTTTTTATTTTATTTACATATTATTTATAGGCAATGTCTCTAGGACAATAATTGCCACTCTCCAACACAAAAAACGATTAAAAAAAAATAATAGAGTTTATTGCATGTTTAATTAAATAAGTTTGTTTCCGACATATGTATTTGCTAGTTTTAGCAGTTTAATGTTTTTACCAGATAAATAATGATTTTATTGACTTTATATGCCTGTTGTCACGATAAAGTGTCCCATTTATTAAGTTGTTTCGGGCAACTTTCCTTTCAGAAGACATTTTATCCAAGTGTACATTTCTGTCAGAATATTTTTTACTTTAATGCACAAAATTTGGTGCTTATTTATACACTGTTTTCTGAATTTTCTGTTACAAATTTCAAAAACATTTTCCACTTGATTCTTTTCTTATGTATATATGAATTATTATGTACGTTAACATGAGATAATCATCTCACATTAATGTTCATGAAACACTGTCACATGAAACTGATCTTATGTAAATTACAAAAATTGTATCTTTACATTTTTATTTTACATTCTTATTCCTAAAACCTTGGGTACAATGAAATTAAACAACAGTTCCAAATTTACTATGATTTAAAAACTGTTTATAAACTCGCTATTGGATTATCTTGCTCGATCATTCAACTGCATGAGCCATAAGGATCCATATACCATCAAACTGTGAGCAACTGCACACTGTAGTCATTAGTCTCAGTTAACACAAAGATAGGAAAAATCGCAATAGGCTTCTAGCATCCAGTCTGTATTGTCCATATGGGGATGTTTATGTTAGATAAACATACCCATATGGACAGTACAAACACAATAAAAACATAATTTTATGTTAATTCCTACAAACCTACTCTTTATTGAAAAAAAACTTGTATACAATATCATAAATTACACTTCCATACAAATTCATTATATCAAAAATAAGATATTCTTTAACAAATTTTATATAAAAATTGGATGAACTACTGCTTGATCATTCTATTTAAAGTGTCTTATAATTAATACAGAATTTCTTTTAATTTGAAATTACTTAATTTTATATATTTGTTCATTTATGAATAGATTATTTACTAAGTATAAAATTTAAGAATTGTCAAATTTTTCACAAAATGAAAACAATTATTTGCTATACTTTTTTATATAAATTCAAAAATAAAGTGAAAATATTTAGGAATGAAATTCAATGTTTTTATTACAAATGAAGCGTGCAATGCCATAATGTTGTAAATGCCAAAAAAGCAAACTTCTCAGGAGAGGTAAAAAAATGCTTTTTCTAATGAATTAATTTATTTCAATTTTACAATGAAATGGTTAAAAAACTCACTAGGTTACAAATTCTCTGGAATATCAAATGATGTAAATATAAGCCATAACGTTTTAAGCACCAAAAGTCACGTGACTTGCGCTCTGGCACTTTAAACATTATAGCTTCATATAAATTTATTTTCAAAATACAACCACTTACAGTGCCAATATTGCTACAATATTTTTTTGTGACAGAAAACATTGCATTTAGAATACAATTCAATAAAACATATTTAGAGAAAAATGGCATTTATAACATTATGGCATTGCACACTTCAAATATAGACATAGTGAGTTTTAATTACAAATATTTGTGGGTTTGTCAAGATCAATGCATTTTAAACTTTTACCTTATACAATTACACAATTCCTGTTATGTAAGTATACACAGCTATATCTACATAATCACCTGATTTCTGGCAGTTTTTGGTTCTAAAGCCTTGTTGGATTAACCATTTTGCCAGACCAACTGCGGTGATGTATAATTATAATTTATCAACACATCTCTAACTCACTAATTATACACTTTCCATGTGTCTAAAGTATACCACAGAATGCTAGAAATATAAATTAAACAAATACTAAATGAAAATTACGTTTGATACCATCACTACTGATATTCTCATCTCTCTTAGAAGCCATTGCTAGGGTTAAATTTAAGCAAAATAAACCAAGAATATCACAAAATTGCAATATCACCACCAACAAGTGCAATGTAAATAAGCACGCTCTACACACAATCCATCCAGTAAATAGTACGATGACCACATTTGTATTTTTTATTGGGATAATGCAAGAATTTTTGTTATTTTTCAGAAAAATATGGGTTTTAAAGAAGGCTCTGGATTAGGAAAATACGGACAAGGTAGGACCCAAATTGTCGAGGCATCCAAACAGAGAGGAAGAAGAGGCTTCGGTTTACATCTGGACGGACTGGAACCAGCCGACATTCAGTGGGACTTTTCGAAAGAAAAAGTATGTTTATAAATAATTTATGCCTTTTGTTTCTATGTGTAAATAGACAACTCCACTAACTTGATACTTTAATTAAAGCCAGGCAATCTGCAAATTATTTGGCTATAATAAGGCTAATTTAATAATTAGACAGGAATTAATTTGTTCAGAGGTAGGCAGTTAGGCTGCTATTGCCTGTTAATTTTAATAATTATAATAGATAAATTTTTAATTTAGAATTTCTGGAAGAAAAGAATTGGCCTAGAGCAGGACTTGAGCTTGCTTACCATGCAACAGTAAGCAAGGAAATTATGATAAGTATAATAGTTTGGTGCAGAAAGCAGATACAAAAATAAATTAAATGAGGATATAAAAATTTCATAAAACTATGATAAAAACACTTGTTATCCTTTTTACTTTCCTGACTTCATCTGAGGTGAACTTTAAAATAAGTTTATTGTTATTTTAAAGTTCACCTCAGTTGAAAAGTCAGGAAAGTAAAAAGGATAACAAGTGTTTTTATCATAGTTTTATGAAATTTTTATATTTTTTAATATAATTTAAATAGATTTCTGACTTTGATAAAATAAAAAGATAAAGAAAAAAATTTTCTTAACTTTTTTAATTGATTTAACCAAATGAGGAATTGAACAAATTCACACATATGCATGAGTACTGATTACACTGGGCAAGTAAATTCACTTGTAATTTACTTATTAATTTGTAGTAGCAAGGTATAATAGCTTAGCAGAATCATGCTACTGCTGTATATAGTGATATACAGCAGTAGCATGATTCTGCTAAGCTATTGGGTTGTTCGGAAAGTAATTTCATTTTTTTTTACCACTAGACAGATTAATTGTATTTTGACAGTGGCATTTTAAGGCTTATTTGTAAAAAATTTTGTGTGATTTTGTGCAATTGTTTATTTTTTGTGTCCCATCAAATATAGAAGATCGAAAGCAGCATTTTAGGCATATTTTGCTCTTTTATTACCAAAAAGGTAAGAATGCTGTTCAAGCAAGAAAAAAATTGTGTGACGTATATGGATGTATTGACAGAATGACAGTGCCAAAACTGGTTTACATAATTTCATTCTGTCAATTTCAATATTGAAGATGTACGACGTTTTGGATGGCCAGTTGAAGCCAAAGAAAACAAAATAAAGGTACTGATTGAAGCAAACTGTTGAATAACAACACATGAAATCATTAAGAGATTAAATTTGTCAAATTGAACTATTTATGATTACTTGAAACAAATTGGTTTCGTTTCAAAGCTTGATATATGGGTTCCACGTGCTCTTAAAGAGAAATGTTCTCTTTGGTGGGATTTTAAGGAAATTTTTTTTGGAGCTTTTACCCGACAATTTAACAATTGATTCAAAAGTGTACTGCCATCGAGTAAACAAATTGAGTAATATCATTAAACAGAAAAGGCGGCCAGAATTGATCAACAAAACAGGTGTGGTGTTTTACCACAGTAATGTCAAATTTCACAAGTTTGGTAACTCGTCAGAAACTATTATAACTTAGATGGGATGTGCTATCATACCAACCGTATTTGCTAGATCGAGCACACTCAGATTATTACTTGTTCCGGTCTATACAAATCTTTTTTAACTGTAAGACATTTACTTGAAATGACAATGTCAAAAATCACTTGGACAGTTTTTTGTAAGCAACGATCAAAACTTTTATGAATTGAAATCATGCTACTACCAGAAACAATGACAACAGATATTTGACCAAAATGGTTGATATATAATTCAATAGAATATTTATTTATTATAAAAATATTGTGTTTTTTCCACGGAAAAAAAACGAAATTGCTTTCTGAACAACCTAATATTTTAACTCATTTAATGGTGCATTATGATGATCAAAGTTAATCCAAAAGTAGTGTTGTTCTTAATAAAAATAATTATTTTATATACATTTTGAATTTTAGCTCAAACTATAGCAATCAAATAAAAAAGGAAATCTCTAGTTGCAATTTTTTTTTCTGCCAGCAACATCAATGCTGTTTCTGTGTTATTAGGTTTCAACTTATCAAAACATAAAATATTAAGAAAGTGAAACTGTGATCATGATATTACTGTACTTTCTTAATCATTTAATCAATATATGTTATTATGCAATATAAAACATCCTAATTATTTAAATGTTAAAGTAAAAGATGAGACGTAGATATCGACTTGCTATGCTCATTACTCACTTGATTACACAGAGCAAGTTTTCTTGTCAGTGAATAAACTTGTGAGTGATTAATGGCAAAAGTAGCCAGGTCTTTGACTTTATTCATTTGGATAAATCATCAAGCCAGATTAATTAGCAACAAGTAAATGTTGGCAAGTGCTACTAAACTTGCCCAATGTAATTGAGCCCTTAAGAATAAAATATAGCAATACATTATTTATTTTATTATGATAATGTCACTGAAAATCAAATTTATTTTCCATTCCTTTGGTCACCTTGATTTTCTGCATTCAATTGAATTTTTTTCATGACAAATAACACCAAGGCCAACATGTGAGGTTCTGAAAGCTCTGTAAAAATTTGATTCAATTCTAATATTGTTTATTTGCTTAATTCTTCAGAAGTCTGTTCAATAATTACAAAACTTATAGACTACAAGTTTAGAACTGATAAATGCATAGTTACAGTTAGTGATGTGAAGATGCACACATCTGATAAAATATCACTATTAGGTCTTTTTTTTCAGTTATTTTGACACTAATTTATATTTTGTGTAAGTAAAGAAACTTTTCTAAAAGAATTTTTAATTAATATATGAATTGTTCATTTTAGGTGAACATCCAAGAAGACGTGTATTGGATGCCGCAATGTTTTAGAGATCCGCCAAAAATACACGAATTGCGACAGTGGATGAAAGAAGGTCCGGTTAGTATTTTATTGATCTAAACAAAGTTTATTATTTGAAAATGTCCGACTTGATGAGGATGAAAAATCTACTAAATGTGAACTGTGGTATGGATATGGTTGCCAGATTTCTACAACTGGATTAAAGGACACTTAAAAAATCCAGCAACAAGTTACATAACTCCCAACTGTTATTAGATTGTATTTAGAAAATAACTTTTATAATTTTAATTACAATATAACTTAATAAAATTCCCATTATCAAGCTATCCGTTATGAGATTTTGTTATAAAAACTTTTTATATTTTTAATAACTGTAAAATGACAAAAAACTTAATTTTGAGGGTAGGAACGAGTTTTATAAAAAAGTATAAATGTTAATAACGAGTAAATTTGTCATTAAGTTCAACCCAACTGGAGGTACATATGACCCCCTTTATCTCTCCACCTACTCAACCTTTAACCACCAAAATTTAATAGCATCAATCAATACCCCTCATATACAAGCCATCATGCCAAATTTTGTTACTTAATCCTTACCCTGTCCTGAGATATTAAGTTAAATAGATGCCTACATACGTATGTACATACAAAAATACATGTATATCTATGGATTTTTTTTTTTTTTACTTTTTTGGATTCAAGAGGTCTCAAAATTAGGAGGTTTGCAAAAAACTCAGATGGTCAAATTTGACATAATTCCAATACTTTCCCTTGTTATGTATACATAACAGCCAGGAAAGTAATAGGATTAATGTTATCTTGCTTCAACTTTTGCTCCTCCCTTCTTGCCCCAAAAAATAAAACTGAATGATTTATTTACTTTTTTTATCTTCACAATTGATAATACAACATATGCATTAAAAGTACGGTGCATCTGGGAAAACACAATTAACAATTTTTTTGATTGTTCCTGGAAAATCAAATAAAGAAAATCTTTTTTGTAAGAGTATAGCATGTCTACAGGGTCCATACAGACCTGGAAAATCAGGGAATAAGATTTTTAGCAGAAAAAGTCAGGTAATCTGCAAATACCACGGAATCCATCTGTCGCTCTCATTCCCTTTTGATCAGGACACTGAAATTTGGTTCAACAATTGACCAAACAAATAGCAAGGTTTGTTGCACTTATATCTTGTAAACTATAAATGATAGTCTTATAATTTAAATTTTCTTAAATAGAAGGTTTACATCTGTATTTAAAATGGTAGGTAGTGGGGATGTGCAGCCATGCAGGGAGGGGTACTGATTGCATATGAACACTGAAAATGGTGATGCAGTGCAGTGTTTGGGTAGCAAAACTTTGGATGGCAAAGAGATAGGACATCAAAATCAGTATCAATATGTACAGAATAACAGGATCTACAATATTATTTAGCAATAGTAACCAATAAAATAGAATATGTAAAGTTATAAGCCAATAGCTGTGCCATTCGAAGAAAATTTTCATAATGCCAAAGAAATTGCAAAGGAAATACAAACAGAAATGTAAGAAACATATATAATTTGAAAGGAAAATTTAAAAGGAATCAAAAAAGCCCAAAGACTGATGCTGAATGATGCAGATTGTATAGTGTGTGTAAGAAAACCCAGCATGTCAACTCTGACACGAATACTTCGAGTGCACTGCCACCCAAACTGATAGATATTGACTTGGAATGTGATAACCACCAAGACTTTATTCGCTTACATCTTATTCTTCCTTTAATATTACAAAGTTGGATTTATGCTTTAAACGATTATGATTGTGTCCCATACACGACCCTCCCAATTTTTTCAACCTGCATCACATTTGGTTAGTTTAAAAAACATTTATCTTTACTGTTTGTAATTATTCAATTTTATTGTTCTTTTCCCATTGAATAAATGTAATAATATAAATAAATTATTATTAAAACGATTATTATTTGCTTTTTGCAGAAAAAGTTAATAATTGATGATGAAGACGAGTTCTGTGATCCAAGCATATTAAGGAATGTATTGGCTTGCAAGGTATTTAATTTATTACATTATATATTGCTATTAAAAATAAATTTAAAAATCTAGAAATAACAACTTATATTCAGGTATATATAAATTATATTTGGGCTTGATAATAAACCTGTATAAGCTGATATTAATAGAATCATCATACACATTTAAAAATTAAATATATTTATTTACTCTGTGGTGAGAAGATTACATTAACTTCCCAACTGTAGAAGGGAGAGAATTTATATAGTAGCCAATTTAACAAATTACAGCTGATCGTGGAAAGTTGCAGTTGAGTCATCTGAGATTTTACAACTAGTAGATATTGTCTAACTGCAAATTGATGGTTGGTCGGAAAGTGGATCACAAGTACAAGGTTGATTTGACAAGTAACAAATGACCAAAATCCCACATTTCTTGTTTTTGTCCCTGTTTTTGGTCCCACTCACACAATTTCTTCTAAACAGGACTTTCATTCAGTTTTACCCCTCAGAATATCTAAAATTAGAGAAGAATTTTTCCTTCTTCAATTGTAGCTGAGATTATGATTCTTATTAACAGTGTGCAGCATCTTTGTATGTATCTGTCATCAAATGTCAATGAGTTGTTTACTTCAAAGTATTATTTGTTGAACAATAAACAGTTCAACTGATGTTTCTCATACGATTCTTTCTAAACTTTTGGTTTGATTATTAGATTTAATATAAAAATTTAAATATTTTAGGCAAATAATTTGGATCCCCACAGTTCTGTTGTTTATTAATTTAGGTTATTGTTACAGAGTGTGTTTGATAAATTAGAACCTGAAGAAATGAGGAGGGCAAGAACTCGATCGAATCCATTTGAAACCATACGTGGTGTGATTTTTCAAAACAGGTAAAATTAAATATTTTGTAGTTGTTTTCTATACTTTTTATTTTTTTAAATTAATTAATTATTTGAAATTTGCAAAGTTTTATACAACAAATACTATTTGTTTCAAATTTGTGGCACTATTTCTAATAGTGTCACAAATTTGTTAGAATTTATGGAATTTTCCATATGCATGGCGGGTGGAAAGTAAGCAGGCATTGAAAAATTGCAATAATTTCTATATTTTTAATGCAAAGATGATGAAAATGATTTGATACATACCTTAGTAAATGGAAATATGAATGCATACCTTAAAATTCAAAATAGGCTATCCACAGGATTTGGGATCGTGACATGGATGGACAGCTTCATCTCTGCGCATCCAGAATCGAACCTGTGGTCATTAACTTCAAATGACAATTTGTGATATGTTAACATCTCAGCATGGCAACCACTGATTTCCAACTTCGTAGCATGTAACAATCTTCACTTGCTTTCAAAGACGTGCAGTTGTCCATTTTTTTTTGTCACTGTGTATGTAGCTTCTCTTAGTCATTGTCCACACCACCAATGTGGAAATTATAAAATTTTGTTGACTAATGTACATGCAAGCATAAATTTTATTGCAATTGCATTATTATTACAAAAATTATAGCAAGTTTCTCAATGCATGATTACTTTTCACCCCCCCTGCAGATCTTTATGATAATTTCCATCAATATTGCACCTAAGGTATTTAAAACATGAGACCTGTTCTGTAGTATGATCATTAAAGTATTTATAAATACCATTGCCTTTGTTTTATTTATTGATATTTTCATGTTATACTTATTGCACATTTCTTGCAGTTTGAAAATCTCTGTAATTCATTCTCATTTGCCTAGACAATAATTTGATCATTGCAAAAGCATGGTACTTGAATACATTCTGCTATTTAATTGCATTACTGATTTCAACACTGTAATTAGATTGTCGATATGTAGATTTAATAAGGCCGAAGATAAATTGCATTCCCACCTCACAACTTGATTTGTTACTATTTCCACAAAAGATCTATTGTTTCTTGTAAGACTGTTTTTGTTTTATGACAGGCTTTGGATGGCTTGTATTAAGGGTTTGAGAAAACATCCAAGATACATTATCTTTTGCTCATCTTCTGAATTTCAAGGTACTCAACCTTGTCTTTTTGAAACCTATAAATCGGTACATTGCTTAATAAACTGGCTTTAATGCAGTTGGATAAGCAAACCGATAACATATTTTGTTTCATTTGAAACAGAGTCATTGCTTATCCGATTGTATTAAATTTGTTTTAAAGGCAACGTACCCAATGTTGTATGAGTTTCAAGATTACATTCTCTACATTCCTCTATAAGCTGTTCTGGTGTGAATACATTATTGATATAAGATCTTCCTTGCATGAAACCATTTTATTTTTTCAATGTGAATTCTCCAGTACATTGATAATTAATTCTGTTAAATATCTTAGGGATAAAATTGTTTTTTATATTTTTTGTTATTCTTTAAATATTATTGAAATTGTTCTTTTCTCATAATAGGGCAGCAGTGAAGATGGCAAACATTGATGCAATGTTTGATTTTATGTTTACGGATCCTAAAGATAATGATGGAGTAAGTTTCATTTTTGATTGTTCGCCTTTATACTTTTATTAGAATAATGGTATTCTTATGGAAATATTTTCAGTTGTTATGTATTTTATTTATAGTTTCACAACCAGTATCTGGAAAACAAATTACAAGATTTAAGATGATTTTCATATAATTAATAAAATTATATAACAGATTTTTATACAGAAAAATCACTGTACACAAATATAACATCAATTAAACTCAATTTTTAGATTAATGCTATTAAGTACTAATTAAATGTAAAGTAATTTAGCTTAGAGGTAGGTGTTATGTTCTATCTCTTGATAAATTTAATAATTTCTTCCAGAACTTTCTAAATTAATTAAGTTTCTCAAGAGGTAGCACATAACACCTATCTCTTAAGTTAAATTACTTGACATTTAATTGCCAATATAATCCGGCAATTGTTTGGCAAAAATCACTGTTCATAAGAAATGTACAGTAGCGCGTCGATTATCCGAATCAATTGGGGACTCGGGTTGTTGGGAAGATCAATGTTTCGAATAATTGATTATGTACAAAAAAACATATTAATTTATTCCATCTTGACATTTTTCTCTGTTGCGTGTCGCTTTGCGTTGAATTTTCATTGATGTTAAGCCTAACGAAGACTATTGTATCGTTAAAAATTATTTTTTTATTTTGTACGAACAAAATAAATATATTGAAAAATATAAAAACAATAAAAAATTATACTTCAGAAGTTAATTTAGTATCAAAAACGTAAAATATTTGAGTAGCCCAAGACATAGCCAAAGATTGCAGTGCCACAGCACTGGCGAAAATTTAAATTAGCCGACTGGAATTCTTTGGATGATTGACTTTCGGATAATCGACGCTCTACTGTATTATGTATTATACAATGGCGTTAAATACCATATAAATTTTTATAATACTTTAAACAAATAGTCTTTTATAATTATGACAAGTATGCCAGATTAAACTTAATGCTGTAATTTAAATAAAATTCTAATGTAATAATATATATTCTATGTCTGTAAATATTTAGCTTTATCGTGGAACCAAAGAAAGTTTCCACAGCCAGCAGCCCTTTGAATGCCATGTTAAATGTTTATTTATTCTTTACATTAGTCTTTTATATTAATTTTCTTATTGTTTTTAGTGTTAAACACTATATTTATTCTCTATAAAATGTATTGTTGTTATGTATTTTGGAGTGTCTAAAATGAATTAATTGGATTTACATTGATTCATATGGAAATAATTGCCTCGATTTTCATTAGTTGCAGATTTTGCCAATTGTTTTCAACAGATTAGTGATGAAAATTGAGGTGTCACTGTATATAAGTTTAAGAATGTATATGTAAGCCATCCAGAAAGTAAAGAACATTGTGGCACTAGTGAGTCTCCATCATCCATTCCAGATCAACAAGCTTTCTGATGTGTTGACAGCGTTCACCTAGTTTTGGCAGTAGGTTTGTAGCTTTGTTTTGCCAACCGTTTGAAATGAATTAGGAAATTAAAAATTCCACCAAATGCAAAGTTTGAAATGTGATTCAATTTTTAAAAATGCAAAAAAGGTTTGCCTGTAGAGATTCGTAGACAAATTACAGAAGTGTATGGTAACGTTATGAGCAAACAAGTGTTTAATGTTTAACCAAAGAAGATTGATTGCTCATAAATGATCATTTTTGACACCCTTCTCCCATGACTGATGAACTGAAGCAAAAAATTGATGATGAAATCTAAGGACATGCATTTTGTTTGTTTCCTCACACTTCAAAACATCTCCTTTCTGAAATTTTTACAGTGCAGCTTGGGTATGAAAACATTACATTAGATGTTTTTCTCGACCAAGATCAGAACATGAAAAAAAGCAAATGAAAACATCTTTGACATTTCTTGGTTGCTACGCACAAGAGGGAAACAAATTTTTGTCATATCACAGGAAATGAGAAATCTATCGATTGGCACTTCCTGAAAGCGAGTGCCAGTCAATAGAGTGGCATTATTCAAGATCTACATCAAAAATAGAAATGTTTAAGCAAACTTTGAATGCAAAAAAATGATGGCAACCATTTTATAGTACCAGAAAAGCTTCCTACTCTCTGACTTTATGCCAAAGACTGTGACAATAAACTTGAGAGTACCATGAAACATTGAATTGACTTTGAAATGCAGTTCAAAACAAACATTATGGCATGTTGTCAAGTAATGGTGTTCTCTTACATCATAAAATGGGCAACAGTTCAAGCAATTCTATGGAAATGTGGCTGGAAAATTTTTGAACATCCAACATACAGTTCCAACCTGACTTCCAGTGACACTCAGATTTTTTGGGTGGCAATCATTTTGAAAACAATGAGAAGAAAGAAACTGTTACTAATTGGTTAAAAGAACTGGCAGAAAACTTCTACAATGAAGAAATCAGAAACTAGTATTACAGTATGGAAAATGCTTAAAACTTGGTGGTGACCATGTAGAAAAATAAGTAAAATCTAAAATATCGAAATCCAATTTTCTGAGAAAAATCATTGTTTTGGTGTCACATGTTTTATTAAATTGCATATTTTTATTATAATATTATGAAAACAATAATTTTGAGGATATTTGTTTCGCATTCTTTTATATATGTAATCAATTTTTAGTTTTTTAGAATGTTTGTTTACAAAAAACTGAATTTTACAGAAGGTAAAATAAGGATTTTCTGTTAGACAAGAAAAATTGGCAAACTTGTTTATTCATTTTCATTATTCAGTAGTGACATAGAATTCCTAGTCCTACATCACTACTATACAATTTCCAAATGTTAATTGGTAACATAACAGTAGAATCTGCCTAATATAATTGCTTTGGGGCTTGATTAAACTAATAACAATAACCAAAAAACCAGTAACATTAAGCAAGATAACTAAATAAGACTACAGTTATTGAAAATGCTAGCTTTATTGACTGACTCTAAAAGATAAAGTTTAAACAATATATAATTTTTTCATTCCAATTATTGTTAATTAATATGTAATTTACTGTTATTTGTCTTTTGTGGTCTTAATATCTGCTAGTGTATAATCGAGGTAAGAAATGCCAGCAGTTTAAACTACTGTATTGAGAGCAAATAACAATTAAATTGATTAAATTTTATTGTTATTTGGCAAAAAAAAATTTCAAATTATATGTGGTACCATCTGTTATGATATGTTATTTAAAAACTTTTTATATTATTAATGATTATAAAATGGCAAAAGACTTAATTTCGAGGACAGAGATGAATTTTATAATAAAAAAAAGTTATAAATGCCAATACCAAGTAAAATCTTCATTAAGTCAGACCCACTTGAGATAAGGCACCTGATCTCTTCTATCTCCCCATCCCCTTGACCTTTAACCACTAAAATATAATATCAATTTCCCTAATATGCAAATTTCTCTGCAAAATTTCAGAAATTGTCTACAAAAAGCATAGGAGTTATTAAGTTACAATGTGGGTCATGTCACACTCACTCACTAACGTCCATTTATATAGAATAGTGTCATGTCACACACATGCACACATATATGCAAATACACATTAACATCCATTCATACAAAAAAAACTCCCCAACTTTTTTGTATTTCTTGATGTTTTGAAGTCCTTGAATCCAAGAATGTAAGAAACTTTGAGGGTTGTTTTTGACCGATTGCCATACTTTCCCTCTGTTATATATAGCAGCTAGGAAAGTAATGGCTTAAAAATGCATGTTTATCTGAAGATAATGATAACAATAATTGAATTCCAACTATACTCAGCAAAGTTTTCATAGTGTATTTTAACTTAAATGTTTCGAGATGCGCTAATTTTGATAATTTCGGATGTCCATTCACAATATCGGCAATTACAATAAATAGAATCTACTGTACTTTCAAACGAGTAAATACGTAAAAGATTCCCAAATAAATATAAAATTATTTTTGAAGAATGTTGTTTTTTATTTGTTTTAAGGAGATTAATTAACTAGGGATGAAATAAATATACAATACCAAATTTATATAATGTTATGATATTTTCTGTCATTATTACTTAAAAATAATTCTGCAAATTTTACAGAATTCGATATTAGAACCTCACGAATTGCTTTATTTTGCGGATATTTGTGCTGGACCCGGAGGTTTTTCTGAATATGTATTATGGAGGAAAAAGTGGGAAGCAAAAGGTTTCGGTTTTACGTTAAGAGGACAAAACGATTTCAAACTAGAAGAGTTTTTTGCCGGACCACCCGAAAGTTTTGAACCTCATTATGGTAACAAATATATATTAATTATAAAATGATAGCAATATTAAATAGCTTTGAAAATATTTAATAGGTTTTTTCTTTTAATTGCATTTAGGTGTGAATGGCTTAGAAGGAGATGGTGATATTTACATTTCTGAAAATTTAAGAGAATTTCGAAGATTTGTTTTGGAAAATACGGACGGAAAAGGTGTCCATTTTGTCATGGCCGACGGAGTAAGTTAATTGAATAGGATTTTTTTGTTGAATCATAAATCTAAAATAATTTTTATTTATTTATTTATTGTGTGTTAACATCTATCACTTAACACAGCTTATACATATTTTTATATTACATAAACATTATATAAACCACATAGCTCATGTAAGTAAAGTCATATATTAATATTATAAATCATATGTCAAATTTATTAATAACAACAAAAAAGTTTGATTCTTGTAGTAAATGAATTCATATTGCATAAATATCCATGTTTTAATTAGCATTATAAGATAGAAATTTTATATAGTATGTGAAAAAAATACAATTATTAAAATAACTAATTTTGTAATATTTGTATATTTACGAGGCTAGTTCAAAATTTGTCCTTAAAAATGTTTTAAAAAATCATAATGTATAGCTTGGCAACTATGCTTAGGATGTGATGCGTGACAGACTGTGCATATCGTATGACTTTTGTAGTCTGTGCCACTCGCGATATTGTGGTAGCTCTGCAAACTTGGTGGCTCCCTTGGAGATGTGCACAAAGGAGGACCAGAATGCAATTATTCATTTCCTTACAAGCAAAGGAATGAAACCATTACATTATCCTTGATGAACTGCAATATCAAAAAGTGTCTGCGAGATGGTTCACTGTGTTTCACATACTTCTGAGATGTTATGATGGGGAAGATGACAATGTTTTGGAATGCCTAGTTGTTACTGGTGATGAAAGTTGGGTACACTAGTGTTAACCAGAAACCAAAAGCTAAAACAAAGAATGGCATACCACCTTGTCACCAAAATGGTTCAAAGCCAGCCTAATCCAGGACACACATTGCTGACGCTTTATGGGGCGACATTGTCGAACATTACACACCTCAAGGACATACTGTAAATTGTATTCTAATCTTCCAAGATGGTAAACAGGTGTTCAGAAGTGGAGAACTAAGTTGAAAAGTGATGCTACATTGTACAGAATACTGGGTCTCATTTCCTGGTAAACATTTTTAAGGATACTTTTTGAACCATTCTCTTACATTTCTGAAATTTAAAATTATGTTTAGTAATTTTATAATAGATTTTATATAAATTATTAAAATATTATTTTTCAGGGGTTTTCAGTTGAAGGACGAGAAAATTTACAAGAAATTTTATCTAAAAGATTGTATCTTTGTCAGTTTTTGTGCGCGCTCTCAATTCTTCGGACAGGTAAACATTTTTTTAATAAGATGATGTGATTTTTATAGAAATATAAAAATGAGTAATATATATAATAAATCTGTAAAGATATAAAATGCATATTTTATGAATGAATATAATAAAGGTAAGACACGGGAACAACATACAGATTTGCCAAGAAGACGACACTACACTTCCAAGGTTTATAATCTGTGACTGGGAACATTTTGGATCTTCTGACATCTATAAAATCTCTATACATTCAATAATTTATTCCTTTATTTATTTTTTTTCAAACTGTTTTGGTAGAAAAGGTTATCAGGAGTTACTACTATGACTCCCTGCCAAGTAAAAAAGTCACTGACTGACGATATATAAAGGAATCAGAGTGCCGACCAATCTTGATGTAATAATACAATCATTAAACAAAAACACTTGATATCCAAACAAAAACACCTGAGATGTAAATAATTTTGCCAAGTAAAAATTTATGACAATTTAGATGATAAATTTGTTTTTGACATGTCACTCATGATGTCAAAATTTTTAAGAAAAATTTTGGCATCATGAGTGGCATGTCAAAAACAAATTTTAAAAAAATATTACGGTTTGAGCAACAAGAAATGGTTGCTTTTTTATTCAATTTAATATAAGGGTTGTAATATTTATTAATTATTAAGTTTGGTTAGTTCTTTTAAAAATATTTATTAATGTTTATTTTATTCTGAATTTTAATTCAGGTGGACACTTCATTTGTAAATTATTTGACGTTTTTACGCCATTCAGCGTCGGCCTGATATACCTTGTCTATCATGCATTTCAACACATCTGTATTCATAAACCAAATACTAGCAGGCCCGCAAATTCGGAAAGATATATAATTTGTAAAAGTCGTCTAGAAAATACCAAAGACATCCATGACTATTTATATGAAGTAAACTGTAGATTGGGACAGCTGTCTTCTTCTCTATGTAATCAAGACATAGTAGAAATTGTGCCATTGAGATTATTAAAAGAAGATTCTGCTTTTTACGATTATATAGTGGAATCAAATAACAGGTGAATAAAATGTTTCCTAGATTATTATTAATTTAAATAAAATGAAATTTAAGTTTTTAAATAATAAGGTTAAATAAGTTTAATCTTACAATTTTGCATTTGTTTCATACATAGAAAGATACATAAAACATTCATACATATACAGGGTCTTCCAAAAAGAGTGCTACCATTTTAAATTATTGTAGTAATAATTATTATATAAGAATGTCATAATGCACATTAAAGCATTGGAAAACTGTACAAGTTTTACATTTGCTCATTTTAATTCTTAGTGCATGCACCTAACCAATACTCAAATTCTCACACTTGCCCTGTCATATTCGTCATCATTTCTCCCACAACAGCCACAATTCTACAACTCTCGCAGATTACTTGCGTTGCACAAAGATGAGTGATTCCGACTTTGTGTACTACAGAATGCAAAATATATTCTGTATCGGAGTTGCTGTTTTTCATTTTTGGAACTTCCTAGAGGTAGATGACAAGACATCTGAATGAAAATGGGAGATGAGAATCAGATGGTTACTTTATTGATTGGTATATCTCATACTTCTCAGATAATAATGTAATAATATAAAATTGTAGCATTCATTTTGGAAATCCTTATATGTATGTAGGTGAAATGACATTCAGTATCCCCTTCATTTATGTGAATTTGCTTTAATGTGGTTGAAAACTTTTTAAATAATCAACTTTGTGGAAATGACAGTTCTATCAGAAAATGTGTTTTTGTTTTCAGTAACCTCTTATAAAGATTTATATTTTAAAAAAAACAAACAAACTTATAAAATATAGAAGAAACTAAACTGCCTTTTTAATTGAAATTACATATATATTTTTACAATTTTTGGCTTATCATCAGCAAAGATTTTTTAAAACTGTTTTATATAATATTGCAGAGGTCCAGCCTCTAATAAAAGGTTGTCTCTGAAAAAGACTATTTTAGTTCCCGGTGATTGGACAGGTTGGAAGTGAAGTGAAGACTTTTTGGTTTCTTCTATATTTTATATATTGTGAATATACTGCCTGCCTTTTTAATTGAAAACAAACTTAATTTAAATTTTTTCTATCCCAATAAGAGTAAAATACTGTATTTGAGAATATGGAATAGATCCATATTTTAAACAGTTTTTCATAGCTCCATTTACACATTGTTTTTGTGGTACCAATTATTTACATAAATGGTGAGATTACTGTATTAACCTATATATATTTTATATATTTTTTAATATCTTTTTAAAATAAATGCCACAAAGACAATGAATTTGACAAACCAATTCAGGAGGAAAAAATTGGAGATTGTTAATAAAATGAAATGTTGATATAACAAATGCCAGTTTACAGGATTTTATCAAAAAAATTTTGATTAAAGAAACAACACAAATAAAAATTAAAAACTTCTTTCAGTTGAAAATAATGGCTTTGTGCAGAAATAATAGTAATTATAGGCAGACTTCTATCACTACTAGTGTTGTTTTAGCTGTGCTCAATATTTCTGATAACTGTATTTTTAGTATAAATATACATACATTAACACAAAAGTTAGGTACCAAGAAGGAATCGAGTGTAACTTTCTTAGTACAAATGTAATTATAGTGGTAATAAGTAATTACAATACCATAGCTAAAGGATAATTTCCTGTGGAACAATGGTATAATTTAAAGGAATGTTAAGCTTGTACAGCTTTCTCTTGCCTGGATGTAGAAATATGGGCTGGGCTAGACATAGACACTGTACTGTACCTCTAACAGATTTGCCCCAGATGTTGTAATGTTGCTTAGTTCCTTCACACTGATATGGCCAAAGCTGATGTCCCATCTGTTTCCACAAATGCTCAATGGGAGATAAAGCTGGAAACAGGGCAGGCAAGGAATTGTGACAATATAATGAGTAACCCTAGCTGTGTATGACCAAGCATTATCTTGCTGGAAAATTGTTGTTTGCAGCCCTGCCATGACAGGCAACAAATGAGAATGAGCGATTTCTCAAATGTATTGCTGTTCCATCAGTGTCCCTCATATCACTGCTAGGAATGACTGTCATATAAGAATGCCCCCAGAATGGTACATCAGCAGTTAGGACAGTGAACCACTGAACAGTAAAGGTAGGATTGAAGCACTCACTATTGGCCCTTCTCACTAACATGATAGTACTTTGTTCTCAAAGGGAATTGGGATTTGTTACTAAAGATAATATGCTGCGAATCTGCAGTATTTCATGCTTCTCTGTCATAGCATTACTGCAAACAAAGCCAATAATGTTCAGGTGCTAATGGCAGAATGCATGAAAATTTGCCTATGCTAGTTGTCCATCAATAATACAGGAAGAGACAGGATTCTGTAACAACACAGACAGATAGGTGATGGACAAAGGTGTTACAGCTGTTCATGTTTATCTCATGAACAGTCATCTCTCCTGGTAGTACTGAAGCCTGCCTAATATATCCACTGCTTCCAACAGCTCACAGTCAGGTCAGAATGGCCTGATGAAAGCAATTCAACAAAATAGCCATCCAGTTTTCCTCAGCCCAGTGGTATTGTCTTTCTGAAATTTTCATCAGCCATGCTGTATGTCTTTAACTGCATCATACAGGCATGCATGGCATTCAAAGACCTTTAAACAGGTACACTGAAAATTCAGAATGCACTGAGTCTCTGCAAGCTTTTTTTGTAAGATACCAGGATTGCAATTTTAAGATGTTTCGGTGGCATTATATAGTATGCAGTTGGACCACACCTGTAATAATTTCCATAGCCGTACATCAGATTTTTCAGTAATTATTGGGATTTGCAGTTCTGTCCGGTGTGCATAACATTTTTGTCGATGAGTGTATATTTTGTATTTAATGTAACTTATACTATGAAAGTATAAAATTTTGTTCCAAATGAATGGTAAGTGAATAGACGAATTGCATTTCTAAGTATTTGTACTTAAAAATGTAAGAAATTTTTATTATAGATAAATTTATTGTTTTCATTTTTGACTGTTGTATTTCAATATAGTGAAATTTCACTTTAACAAAAATATTTTGATGACCCCCACATTTCTATTATATCGATATTTCACTTTATATATAAATTGCATTTCTGGAGTTAATCTGCCATAATTGTGGATTATACATACCGTACTTAAAATATTTGATGTATTATTATTAACTAGAAATTCTCCCATCAAGTATGATGGACTACTTTCTATGAGAAAGTAGAGATTCAGGAATTGAGAAAAGTAAAGATTTCAAGAAATTCAAGAAGAGTAACTAATATTTCTTCAAATTCAATAGCTTATACTGTCCATCAGAACATAATGCATAATAATATATTTTAAATAGCAGGCTTGCTACTTTCAATTGGATAGTAGGACATCACACGGTCACTATAAAAAGTTTTTTTTTTTTTAATTGTTGTAGAAGCAACACAATGCAGGTATCTTTTTTTTTTAAAGTTTAAATTTTAAATTTAACAAAGTAAGTTTAAAATATGCAATTTGCCAAAATATTTTAAAATGCAACTCAAGGGGAAATTCTGTGATCAAGCATGAACTAAATGAGGTCACTGACATAGGTCGATCACTGATCCAAAATCAATAAAACGTTTATTCTATAGCTATTTCTACAAAATAAGCAGCTTATACTTTCTGTCAGAACATAAAATGTATATAACCAAAATTTCATTTGCATTGGAGAAAAAATTGCAGGTGTTATAAGGAATTCACACACACAGAGAGACAATGGCTTTTATATTAGTAATGTACTGGTACAGGATGGATGGAATGTAACTAGACATTGGGATATCATATAATTTCTATATTTCAAATGCAAAGATGAGAAAAATTATTTGAAATGTATTTTATTAAATGGAGATACGGATGTGTGCCTAGAAGTTTAATTTAGGCACCAGTGCCATCCACCAATTTCCTCAAACGACTGAGGATTGTGACATGGATGGACAGCCAATCTTCTGTGAGTCTGCAATCATTAGCTTTGGATGAAAATTCTGGATTGTTTCTGGACGGAAGGAACGGTGGCAAGACGTCCTTTTGCTACACGCCACCATCTCTGCATGGCAGCCACTGATTTCCACATCTTGCAGCACCTGACAATCTGCACTCGCTTCCGAAAAGATGAATGGTTGGCCTCTCTCTTGGTCACTGCCCACATCACTGATGCAGGAATTATAAAATTCTGTTGAGTGATGTAAATGCATGCACAAATTTTATGATTGTATTATTATTACAAAAATTATAGTGATTTCTCAATGCTTATTTACTTTCTACCCACCCTGTATATTCATACAATACATTTTATTTGAAATATATTTAATTATGGAGATCATTTGGCTTAGCATTGATATATTTTTACTTGGGAGCATTTGAGTATTGCATCATTAGTTTACAAAGAGGAGATTTGTTTGTTCTGACAATTGTTGATGAGGGGGAGGAAAGGTTTTGATGAAGTAAGATTGCACCCATTATTTATTTTTCTCCACAGTCACCATAAAATTTACTGGGGGGATGACTGCAATATTATTACTACATTCCTTTTAAATTATATATTTTGTATTGTGTGTCTTTTGTATTCCAGTGTTTATTTTGACAAGAATTTATATTTTCCAACGCGTCAGTCCGTAAACTGAAGGTCGTAATTGTCGGCTCATAGCTGCACAATAAATAAAAGTGTTATAAACATATACAACTGTCTGAAAATAGTTCCCATGTATGTACAAATGTTGTTGACTTCTGGCTCAATAGCCTAATTAGGGGAAGAGGAAGAGGTACTTGATTTTTGATGACTGGTGATGAGAGCAGGGGGATCAAAAAAGGGCAAATTTTTGCTGACATAATACTTGAACAGTCCCTCAGAGCTTTCTGATTACAGAATTATTTTTATTAATTTAATTTATTTTTAAATAGGAAGACATTTGCAGAAATTTGAATCCTTATGATAAATTTTCAGATAGACACAAAAGCAATTTTTTAATTTATATAAAATCTTACAATTTTGTTGTTTAAGTAACAAAATGTTTTTATCTTTGCCTAACAAAATAAATAAAAATTAAATTATTTTTGAAATGGTTAAATTTTTATTTTTATTGAAACTATTGATGATTGAACATATTTAACAATTTACATATTTAACATATTTACAACATTTAAATTTCATTTCATTTACGATTTATAAGCTATTGTTTGTTTAATATTTCCAGATTAGGAGAGCAACAGATTATTCATTTAGCAAAAATAAAAGCTTTCGCACAAAATACGTAAGTATAAATATTTTTTGTTACTAAATACATTTTATTTTGTGTAAACGTTATTAAATTTAACAGCAGTGAAAAAGCTGCAATAGTTGGCACAGTTTCTGTAGAAGTTGCGTAAATTACGAACTCACTGTTAAGTGCCGAAAACTAAAGAAAAATCTTTTAAACTTTGGAATAAGCCTACTTTTTAGCAACGATGCATGCGAGTGTTTGCAGATGGTGCTAGGATGCAGCATGAGCGGGCACCAACTCGACCTAAAATCTCCTTGCCTGCCAGTACACCTATCCTGAAATAATTACTCAAGCATACCTGTACCGACTATTATTGGGAGTTTCTTTAAACATGAATTGGTTGTTTGCCAAGTAATTATGTGTTCTCACCAAACTTCTGCTTATATGTCCTACTGAAATCTATTGCAAAATTTTAAAAATTAATGTCTTTCATGTTTTGCCCTCCAAGAATAAAAATCCAAGCATGTTACTGCAAACTGGAAGCACTCCCTAATTAAGGATGTGTCTATAAATTACTCTTGACTAATGAGTTGCACAATTGTACTAAAACCTGTCAAAAGATGACCTGCACTTGTGTTTCAAAATGATGCATAATCTCGTCTTCCGACATTACAATCAGGCATGCCGGAAAAGACCAAACAAAAAGATCATGTAGCATTTGCATGATGTAGACAAAATGGCAGATTCTGTTGCTTACACAAATCCTATTCTATCAAATGAGACATATAAATTTAAATTTTTTATTTTTAAAATCTATTATAAGATCATTTATTAATAAATGATCTTATAATAGATTTTAAAGTTTTCAGAACAACTTCTAAAATTAATCTTAAAATCATCATGACACATTTTTCTGTCACAAAAGAAAAAAAGATAGAAATGGCAGCTCCAAAAATTGATGAATTGTTGTAAAATTTTTTAACAAGCAGATGAAGTTCATGGGAGAGCAAATGAAGCAAGCAGGAAAGCAAATCCCCTAGTAACTTTATAATTATATAGTTTGTTTTAGATGATAGTTTTAAAACATTAGAACTTATTTTAGAATAAAATTAATATAGTTTATGAATATCTTAAAATCAGTGATGACATCATATCAGAAACAGAGGGTTGTTGTTATTATATGAGTGGAGGCAGTAGGCCAAATGCACTTTAACCCGAAAGACCCATCATGCACTACACGGCATTATTTCAAAAGTATGAACTCTTTAAAAAAAACAGCAGACTTTTGAAGGAAAGTTGAGGGAATTTATTTTGGCAAAGTGGAATCCACATTAACAAGTCTATTCGAGCAAAGAACTGCACACTCGCAAATGGGATACAGAGGAGTCTCCTCAGCAGAGCTACAAAAGAGGTAAGAAGTCAAGGAGGAAAGATTTGGTCAGCACAGATGTTTATAAAAGTAACAAAACCAGTCATAACATCAATCAAAAAGTGATCATGATTCTTGTCAAAAAGACAGAAAGTCTTTAGTTTTACCAGAGAGCAGACTAGACAAAAAGTCTTCCTCTGCTTTACACCAGGAATTAACCTCCAGTACTTAGAATGATTGGAAGTAGTCCAATCTTTAACAGCTCTAAAGAAAGTATTATAAGAAATATCGAAAGCTGATTTGGGCCCAATATAGAGATAAGAAGCATTATGTTTGGTCAGTAAATCAGCACTTACATTGTCAGCAATAGTCACATGTTCTGGCACCCCACAAGAGAATGACCCTGTTATGGATAGCCAGCTCATTGAAATGTAAACAGCACCCCCAGGCAACCCAGATGAAAAAGGAGCATGTGCCCCAATTAATCTTAGCACTAGAAACCACCAATCTAGTCTTTCTCCAAAATTCCCTATTGGTAGGCTTACCAGACATTTTGACCAGGATTGTCCTGGCTTGATGATGTGGTCCCGGTGTCCCAGCCAGTTTGTTATTTTATCCTGGTTATTTGGTAAAATTTTAAAGATGCCAAATATATAAGAAGTAAAAAGAGTGCAGCCTCAGGTAAAATGGCAATTTGGCAACTTAAAAATTCCCTTGGTTACACTCACTGTTGCCAATCTAAATATTTTGTATCTAGATCTAAGTACTTTTAATGTTGTCTAGATGTTTTCATCCAAAATTTATAACATGTGGCCTAATGAATTTAGATGTTTTATTTTTTCATCCAGATATATTTTCACAGAATTTATAACAGCCTATGAGATCCAGATATTTTTATTTCATTTTTTAGATATTTTGTTTCAATTAGAGTTGGCAACATTGAAACTTATACTGGCACGTCATTGCTGTGCATGTCCTATCTTAGTCGATATAATTGCAAATTGCTAGTCGACATTTGCAATTATTTTGTACTGTACATTAATTTAATCTCCAAAATGCCGTAAGGAAACTGTGTTTACCGATGAATTAAAAAAGGATTATCTGTTTTTGAAAAAAGTTTGTGATCATATTGACAATGTGAAATGTGAACTGTGCTTTTCAGAATTTTCACTAACTCGTGGACGTTTGGACATAAAAAGATCACTTGAAATGTGTGAGACATGAGGCAAGCCTAGTAGCAGCAGAAGGAACTTCCTCGAATATATTGTCATATTTTAAAGGTATCGATTTAAGTGACAAAGAATTTTTAATAGCAGCTAAAGGAGCAACTTTTGCATTTCATGTTGCTATTCACAATCTCAGCTTTGAGTCAGTCGATTGTTCATCTAAATTGATTATGAAGCTCTGAAACAAAGTTTAGACTAGCCAGAACAAAATGTGAAGCCGTCATTGTTAATATGATTGAGCCACTGTTGTTTCAGCAGCTTTGCGAAGATTTAAATAAAACAAATTTTGTGACGGTATCAGTAGATTCTTCCAACAGGAAAGAAATTAAAATTGTGCCAATCGTTGTGGGGTATTTTGTACCAGATTGTGGCATAAAAGTTAAACTTTTAGACTTTCAATCAGTTCCTGTTGAAACTGCAGAAATACTGACAAACTGTTTAATATCAGTTATTAAAACTCATAATATAGCAAAAAAAATTATTGGATTTTGTGGAGATAATTCCAATACTAATTTTGGGGTTGTTAAACATGGAGGAGAAAACAATATTTACAAGTAAATTAAAGGCGGAACTAGGAAGGAATATTGTTGTGGCATTGGTTGTGGTGCTCACATCATACACAACTGCCTTCAAACTGCAGTTGATGTTCTACCTATTGAAATAGAAGCTTTAGTGGTCAAAATTTATAAATTTTTCTATATAAATTTTGAACGTTTATATGGTTCAAGTCACTCAAGCTAAAAGAGTTCTGTGAATGTAAATTTAGAGTACAAAAAAAGGTTCTTCAACACGGCAACAGCCGTTTTCTTTTGCTACTTCCAGCTATTGATTGACAGAATACTTGAAATCTATGAAGGACTAAAATATTATTTTATTTCACAAGAACACTGTCCAGTGATGATAAAACATTTTTTGATAATGATTGTGGTGAAACGTATTTATGGTTTGTGCAAGGGCAACTCAAATTGTTTAACAAAGCTATCTTGATTATGGAAAGACAAAAGCGAGTGCAACTGATATTGTCAGTGAACTTGGAAAATTAAAAACAAACCTTGAGAAAAGGCATGATAATAAATTTATACCTCAAAAAGCAAAAAACATTTTAGAATACTAGAAAATAATGGAAGTATTAATATCAATACAATCCTACAAGAGTTTACAACATTTTATACAGATGTATTTCTTACATTGAGCTATGGGAAAACAGTTTTGGTGGAGCAGAATCTTTTACTTTAGTTAATAATAATGAATTAACATGGTCTGAAATTGAAGCTTCAGGTGAAAAAATTAATGAAACTGTTGCAAATAATACAATAAACATGGATCAACTGTTTGATGAAGTAGTGATTGCAAAAGCTTTTTGGTCAGCTAACTATGAAATTTGGAAAAATACAAGTTGTGAAGAAAAATGGATACAACTTTTCAGTCATTTCAAAGAAAAGAACATTTCATTGCCCAATCTTGTTCAAATTTTAGAATGCATTTTCAGCACGCCAGGCACATCTGCACCAGTCAAAAGAATATTCTCAATAATGAATATCATATGGTCTGAAGAAAGAGGTGGAATGGCTTGAATCAACCATGAAAGCTTTACTACACTGCAAAATTAACAGTGAACTAATTTGCAGCAAATTTTTTAATGCCATTAAAAATAACAAAGAATTTTTAAAGAAAGTTCACACTAGTGATAAATATTAATAACTTCTTAATAATAAGTTATGTTTAGTTGAGTTATTAAAAATTGCTTTTAACTCTTTGCTGTTTTTTGTTAACAATGTCTTTACTTAGCTTTTCAATCATAGAAGCTTATGCTATTAGGCTTTATTTTCTGTTGTGAGTATTTTCTCAAAATTGTCCTGGTTTGAGAAAAAAATATTATGGTAAGCCTACCTATTGGGTCTGGATGAGGCCTAGAAAACTCCAGAGACTCTATAGCCTAAGAAATGCGTCTCAAGTAAATAGAGAATAGTTTCCTGAGCAGAGGTTGAATACTTACTACTGGAAAGAATCAAGAGACCTGGTTCAGAGCAGGATTTCTTAGCTGAAATCTTCATGAATCTAAAACTTCTAGAAACATTAGAAATGTTTGAACAAAAGGACCTCCACAAAGATCTTTTTGCTCTTCTAAGAGTTTTTTTTATACTAGGCAAGATCTTTATGGTAAAGCCGTCAAGCAACAATACACTTAGCTTGGTTCAATAACTTCCAAGTTGAAGACCTCAGAAAACTTCATCTCCTTGTTTCACCGAGAACTAAAAGATGGACGAACTTTTCTCGAGTATGACAGCTAATAGCGTAGGATTCGAGAATGTGCTGTGGCTCGAGGTCTGCAGCCAACTCAAAGCCTAATACGGCACCAAATTGACAAGAGAAGCAACCCCATCCGGAAGACGGACATTCTTTAAAAAGTGTCCAATTGATCCTCTTTCATCCTTCTTAGGCTAGAAGACAAGAGTGAAAATAGTGTTCTGTGATCAGATAGGGAAAGTTCATCAGATGTGCCAATCCACCACTCTGTTACCTAAATTAGAGGAAGATAGAGTGAGATCCAGAATTTCCATTCTGGAAGTAACATAAGTGGATTTGTTGCCTGGATTTAAGATTATCGGGTCTGAACCCATCAAAAAGTCTAGATGCTCTAGCATTAGCTATTGAATTCTATTTCTGTTTGATGTATTCTGTTATCTAAGCATTCATCAGAGGAAGCAATATCTAACTATTGACTTATAGAGAGTTTCAAGTTATTAATTTCTCCTCCTACAAAGAAACTATCCAATTATCTTTAATAGACATTCGAGATAAAGATCCCAGATTTAATTCAATATCTCCACTTAGTATTATTAATTTTATTTATCAGTTAAATTTCACAAACTTAATTTCGATTCCAGTTATTACCAAGTCATTAAAACTGAATACAAATGTAAATTATTTGGTATTAAATAAATCATATTCATATTCAATTACAGTCGACCCCCCCTATAAGATATAGATACGTTCCAATTTATTAGGAATCCGATTTCTTACAAGTCGTTCCAATCACAGCCCGACACGTGTCAAGTTTACGGACTACGGCTGATTGAAAGGTTTTCTTCCATAAAATTAATCGATTCTACACTAATCCGACTCAACATTTCCAAAATACGTATATTTTTTCGTAGTTTTATAGGAATTGTAATTATAGGGACTGTAATTATAGGGGGGTCGACTGTATATAAAATTCTGTTTATCTGTCAGTTTATTTTTATTTTTATATTATAAGAAATGATAATTTATTAATTATCTTTCTAGTGATTTATATGAAGAAAAACAAAGTGATTTAAGAGAAGAATGTTTAAAGCTGTGGAAGGTAAGTGTTTTAAAATTTTAATATAGGATTGCAAAATTAGGATACAAATGCAGCTCTGAATGAAGCTGGAGTAGGCATGGTCTATAGCTCTTATCAGAGTTGTAGACCATGCTCACAGGAGTGAAAAAGTCAAAAGGAACCAATAGTCTACGTGTGATCCTTCATGAGATAGTCTCCCGAAATTGGCCTATATGGAATTTTGAAAACCCCAGAAAAATGGGGTAAAATTTAAATCCAGGACTATTTCTCAAAACAATGCTAAAAATTGGCCATTTTTCACTTTACTAGAGACTGCTGAAGGTTTGTAAAACATGCAAAATGCCATTGTATCGACTAATTCCGGGAGTCACAATGCACACTTTGTTAAGCTTATTGCATGTTTAACAAGCTGATTTTGGGGGCTATATCTTGCAAAGGCTCACCCATAGATCATCGGTTCCTTTTGACTTTTTTACTCCTACGGGCATGGTCTATGGTTCCATAAGATCCTAACAGCCTCATCCAGCATTGCATTTGTACCTTATTTAGTGCATTAAATGAAATAAGGACAGGTTTAGTTTTGTATTAAAGCAATATATTCTTTTGTTTGCATTTTATGTATTTTTTTAACAGAATAATTATTTAATATTCTTTATTAGCAAATGTACCTATTAATTGTATCAGTTAAATGCAATCATTAATTTTGTTATACTTAAACAACTTCTACTTTTTTTGTTTTCGTCTGTACTGTATTGGTCTAACATACTGTACTGTATACCATTGGTTATATACGGTCACTACACAATGACCATTAGATTAGTATTAAAGAGTAGTAAAGTGATCTAAATGTGATATAATGAATGAAAACTTGGCCTGATAATAGAGAATTCTCAAGACAGAAAAAGATAAAACAATCATCCATCTTATGATTCTGTCAAATAATCAAGCTGGATTTATTATCAGGCTACATTTAGCTAATTAAATATACAAATGCTACACAATTTGGATTGAAGACAGGCAAATACGTCACCCTCTTTTATTAAGTTAATAATTAGAACTAAATAAATAATTTAGAATATTCTAGAAGAAAAGATCGATCTGGAATATGACTCAAACTTGCGACTTCTGCTTACCATATAAATGTGTTAACGATTATGCTAGCCGGACACTCATCTGATCTCCACTTCCAGGTTAAATAAATATAGCAGATTGAAGAATAGGGCTAACTCATTGTGCCAATCAGAGATGACTACACACTAGAGGCCTTTATGGCACTTGGCCAACTTTAAGCTTTAACCTCAGAAACACAAAAGAGAACCAAAACTCTAGCAGAAAATGAATTTCCTGCTGGAGTTTTGGTTCTATTTTGTGTGTCTCTAATATTATATATTATAATTTGAGGTAAAAGCCTATAAACAACACATAAATATTATAATATTTCTGTGTTATTATAAATATTATAATATTTCTGTGTTGTTTATAGGCTTTTACCTCAGCATGGTTTATATGTATATGCATGTATACCGAGCACAAATTAACAGAAGTTACATTTTATAGCTTCCGGATAGAGTAAGATCTGCACCGAATCGATCTGACCCCAAATCGAAATTCTACGAACTGACAAAAGTAAGTCAAATTTTCTTATAAAAATGACATTATTAAAAGTATTTTTTCTTTTGATTGAGAGTAAAATATTATATTATTAATTACTTATTGCTTTTTATATTATATTCAAACTTATATATATTCAATTATATCAATTATTTTCTCATCATAATTTTAGACTTAAATCACCTTGGATTAAAGTCTAAAATAAAGTATAAGTATTAATTTTGTTACCTTCTTGTTGTGGGTTTAACATATACATAAGGTGGCCAAAAAATCAGTTAACTGAAACAAGAACAGTGAATGAATTACCGAAATTGTGATTGCAACTGGCTATAGGCGACTACGGGGGCAGGACATTGCTGCAAGTACTGCGAGACCTTTATATTACATAAATTCTTCAAGGATATATTACATTCCATTGTTTCTAAATAATCAGTTTGATATGAGAGATTACTTTCTGAACTTATAATATAAACTAAGCATTTTTATAACTAGTGTTATTTAAGTATAGTTATGCCCAAAAAGTTCCAGGAATGGGCAGACAAAACAATAAATATCAAGAAGCAATTTTTTTAATAATTTACATGCCTTTTCCCGATAGTAATTGTAGAATTCTCTCGTACACATGCACATAATAGTTATTTAAATTAGCTTCTTTGTATCTGAAAAAGCCAATTTTTCTCAAATTAAAGAAATTGTGAGATTATTTTGAAAAATATCAAAAAATTTCTTTATATCTTAATACATTTTGATTCTTTGACTCAATCCTCAACTTTTTGAACACATCTTGTATTTTATTTATGACCTTTTAGGATCCATCTTGTTACAGAATTGCCTCTAAATAGATTTTAGTGTGTTTCAAAAATATGATTTTGGGTGGATATTAATTAAAATTATTAACATTTTCCGTTTAATTTTTTTGAGTTTATTTTATTATTATAGTACCGAACCAAATATCTGCCTTCCAAAATTCAGAATTACCAGAAAACTGGTTGGTTTTGAATTTGGCAGTTGTAGTTACAGCTGTATCTCGTCACATACCACTTTGTTTTGTTTCTATGGCCTAGGCATCACACAACACTGGTTCCAGTAAGACTGCTGTCTCATGGTATGTTAAAAACAATTCTGTTCTTTACTTTCCATTGTTTATTTTGAAATTTAAGTATATATTTAGCCCACATCCAGAAAACTGGAAAATCCAGACTGCTTCTGATCCCAAGTTTGTCAGATATTTGGTACAGTACTGTATTACCTGACAAAGAAAATTAGTCATAAAATAAAAATGATAAATTATATGTATTTACTTATTTTTACACTTAATTTATGTGATTGGGACAGTTAACACACACATGCAAATCAAATTACGAGGGGTGAATTTCTCAGAAGCCACTTTTCCATTTAGACTAAGTGCCTTAGCACATGCACAGAACATCTTCAAATGTGATTTGGTGAAGTCAGTACGGGCACGTGCATGTACACTACCGTACTAAATATTGTCTTTGCCGATGCGTGCTCAGATTGAAAGTTATTTAATATGTTAAAATGTTAGTATAAGATGGCAGTCTAACTGCCTATCTTTATAAAAAATTATTTTATATTAATTATTAATAATTATCCAAACTATAGTCAAATAATCCAGAAGTTAATAAGATTATTATACAATATTTGGACTCAATTGTTTATTATATGTACAATGATTGGTTAACAGAAATGAAATAGAAAAAAGACAATATCTTAATGCTCGAGATGACAACTTCTAAACTGCATACCGGTACTTATCTTACTTTTGATGGCCATCTGGAGGCATGGGATATACAGTAAGGCAGGTTATGCGAAAGTTTTATATTCACTCTTGCAGTTTTCTGTAGGGTGTCTGCCCAAAATTATGGTAATTGTTTTTATTTTCTATACATTTCTATTCATCAGATGTGTTTCTAGATATGATAATAAATATTATTTTTTTTTTATAAGTTACAAAAACTGACAAAAGACAGAAAGAATAGGTCTGTCTTTAGAAATTAATTACATTAATAATTTTTTTTTTTATAATTTATGAAAGAAGCATTTGAACATAGACAATGACAATTTCTGTAATTATTAATATTAAATAAATGAATAACTATTGCAGATTAGTACATTTAGCTTTCAATCAGGTCTGTTTTTCAGGGCGAAGACACGGCTTACATGACGGGAAAGTTGCAGGAGTTTGAAACGAGCCATTTCAAATTAATTAAGAGCATTCGTGATTATTGTTGCATTGTATCTGGAGTGGAAAAATCAAATAGAATGGACCGAGCATTTTTTCTATCACTTGGAGTAAGAATCTTTTTACATTTTAATGATTTTTTCCATCATATTTTTTTTATGGTATTTTATTTTTGGCTGAAGTTTTGAACACACGAATGTAATCATAATTTAATAATTAGAAATCAGAAATTCCATACTTCAAAAGAGTAGAGCTCACAAGTATCCAAATGAATAAAACCACTGAACATTGGTAGTTGGTTGTGGGTTTGTGCCTATCCAATGGACTGGCTGTGTGGAGTTCTCCAGGTTTTCTTCATATTTGTAACACCTAAATAGAGGACAGATTCCCATAAACGACTTCTCTGGTGGCATTTCCTTCTAGGCAGATCGCCCATGTGTTGCATTGCCACATATGAACAAACCAATCAAAAGAGTAAATCAATTATAGTTTTTGGAATTACACTCATTGATGAAAAACAAGTTATGTACCCAATAAAATTGTCTGATTACTGCAAAACTAAGTACAGTGGGTGATTGGTTAATGAACAGTTCGGACTGTAAACAAATTAGGCAACAAATACTTTCAGGAAAGAGTTTTATGTTCGGACAACAAATACCTCGCAGAACAAACACAAGAAGTGACACTATGTGTAAGATTTGTAGAACTGTATTTTACTGCCATTTATGAACAATTTCTGGAAAGAAACTTTGACAGTTGTATACATAACCTTTTTGTGCATTGGTTGATTTCTGTTCTCTGAATTTTCTGAACTTTTTATTTTAAAAAACTGTTAATGAAAACTGCATCTGAGAAGCAAATATGTACTATTCATTAACAAATAGAGAGATTGCTTTTAGTTTGGATAAAAGAAAGGGAAATGAAAAGAGATGTAACTAGTGTGATTAGCATTCAACAGAAGACTAGAGAAATTTTTGAAGAACTGAAGAAACAAACTTCACATTTGTCACTTGAGGAGATAGAATTCAAGGCCACCACTGGATCATTTGCAAAGTTTAGAAGGAGATCTGGCATTAAACATGTGCTAGTGAAGATGAAGAATCTGAGAAGTTCTAGCTCAAATTTCAAGAATTCACTAAAAAAGAAGGATATTGTTCACAACAAATTTTAAATTGTGATGAAATTGGTTTATTTTGGAAGTGCATGAAAGATGAGAAAAATATTCCTGGGCATAAACTCGTGAAAGACCGATTGATGTTACTTTTGGGAGCTAACACTAGTGGTGATATGAAGCTTAATCCACTTCTTTGTCTATCACTCTGGGAACCCTAGAGCATTCAAAAAATTCCATAATTAAAAAATGGCTGCCAGTGTTGTGGAGATCAAATGAAAGGGCAAGGGTTATGCAGGTTTTTTCAAAGAATGGCTGTTTAAATTTGTACTTCAAGCATAAAGGATTACTTTCAAACCAATGAATTACCATTAAAAGCACTATTGCTATTGGACCAAGACATCCAAAAGACCTTGAAGATGATTTGCTGGAAGACTTTCGTTGGCTGACTGTTCAGTTTCTCCTTCCAAATATCACTTCAATGATTCGGTCAATGGATCAGGAGTTTATTGAATGTTTCAAGAAATTGTACATTCACACACTGTTTTGTTGGTGTTTTGAAACATGCTAGTTCTCAACAATGACATTAAAAACATTTTGTAAAGAAACATTTGATATTCTTGAAGCTATCTGGCTCATTCAAAAGACATGGTCAAAAGTCACTCAATGACAGTTGAATTCAGCTTGGTGAAAGCTGTGTGACATTCAGGGAGACGGAGATGATGCTCCTGAAATGGATGAAATTGTGACAAATGCTAGAGATCTGGAATTGGAGATGAAGATGATACTGAAGATCTCATAATGGACCATGAAAATGATCTTATGCTAGAAGAACTCCAAGAACTCTTGAATGAAGAACAGCAAGATGTGTTTTCTTCTGAAAAAGAAAAAGACGAAAGAGGACCAATGCTGACATCTGCTATTAAAGATCTTTAGAAGAAGTGGGAGGATGTCAGAACAACAATCTTAGAATGGCACCTAAACCAGGTTGAGGCCAATAGCTTGGGGATCTCTACAATGAGAATGCTATTAATCATTTCCAAAAACTCCTGAAGAAGAGAGAAAAGTAATCGACTTTAGACAGATTCTTTAACATCCCACAAATGGAAAAAAAACATGATTGATGAAATGCAAGATTATGTATGCATTATTGTTATTACATATAATTAAATGTAGTAAGAAATTATATAATTTTTTATTTATTTTTCTGAGTCTCCAGAATGAATTAATCAAATTCCTAAATATACCAGAATAAAAATCTATGGTAAATCGATAATTGGTTAACAAACAATTCGGGTAGTGTACATCGTCTTTGAATGGATTATGTCATTAACTAATCATCCACTGTACAGTCAAACCTCTTTTCTGAACTTAATTTGTTCCTAAAAATTGTTTTAATTAAAACCAAAATAAATTTTCCCATAAGAAACAATATAAAATGGATAAATCTGTTCCTGACCCCCAAAACAAAACCTTAGTTTTTACCTTTTTAGCTGTATTTCAAGCATAAAAATGCCTACAAATCAAATGAAATATAATACAGATAATATATTATATCATCTATATATATTAGTGATGCAATGAATAGTATATTCAGCCTCAGTATATTTTATCCTGGCCAAATACCAAATATTTGGCCAGGAATGTGGCTGAATATTCAGCCAAACTATTCGGCTTGATTAACGCACGTACGAAAATTGGCACGTAAACCGCATTATGGCAAGGATCACGCACCCTGCTCTCTATTGGCCCACTGTCACTACATTTCGCCATTTGCGTTGATTCTTGACAGTTGTAGCAGACAGACATAAGTGTTGTGGCAGTATGTGATAAGTGATGATATCAAATGTGGATAACAATGAAATGACCTACACGTGTAAATAATGGAAAAATAACAGAGAAGGACCGCAAAGTGAAAATGTGAAAATAAATATGAAATTGAGTTGATAACATAATAAAACAAGTCAAAGCAGCTTATTGGCACAAAATTCGCGGCTGTCAATGCCAAATAATTGTTCTCATAGACTTTGGAAAGCTAAATGCTTGTAATGAAAGTCACTTAGCATGCAAAAGCCTGGGGCTGTTCAGGCTACCAAGCTGTCTGGAACTTCAGTTATGATAAATAATTTTGTACAATGAAACAAAAAAGTTAATTTAATTTTCAAGTTTATAATAAGGGATGATTTCATNGGAAAGCTAAATGCTTGTAATGAAAGTCACTTAGCATGCAAAAGCCTGGGGCTGTTCAGGCTACCAAGCTGTCTGGAACTTCAGTTATGATAAATAATTTTGTACAATGAAACAAAAAAGTTAATTTAATTTTCAAGTTTATAATAAGGGGATGATTTCATAAAAATGCTTTACAGATCATTAATTATTATTTTATCACATTTTATGACCTAAGTTTTGATCTAATGTGCCCATGCAATAAAAATTTTCAAACAAATTTTTTACCCTTTTTCACCCCTTTAAGGTTGACTTTCATATAATGTTTTCTTAGCATGCCTAAACTTTACAAAAGGAACACACACTCAAACTTTTGTTTCTAGCACCAGTAGTTTTGGCTCTGCATTAATTATCCTATCAGGACTTGTTCTTTTATATACAAGTATATAGATGACTAAACTACATAATAAATAGGTAGTTTTCATTTGATTTGTTACCTTTTTTTGATCTCTTAAAAAAATAACTTAGTTATATTACTTTTCCTTTGATCTTTTACATAAATAAGAAAAAAATTGCACTTTCTCGAAATTGAAATGTATGTTCAGCATTAATAAAAGTTACCAAAATGATTAATTTACTGTGTTTTTGTTATTTCTTACTCCTGTTTTTAGGTATTCAGTATTCAGCCGAATAGTAACCGAATATTCGTTGCATCACTAATATATATATTAATTTAATTTAGATTCAACTGCAGCACATACCAAAAAGTGGAAATACTATCTTCCCCTCATGTGCATTGAAATCTAATTTAAATAGCACCATCATCAATGATTTGCGTCCTGATGTCTAATGATGTGAGGTGATCTCCACACCACTAACACTGAGCCATCGACTTTCTTTAATATAGGAAGTGTAGGGAGTTGACCGTCTCTCTCTAATCTCTGGCTGGCTCTTGAATAGCTTGTCTGTGACTGAGTTATCGTACAGCAATGGACAAATATGAGTTCAAAATTTTGTTCGTGTACTGAATTATTCAAAAAGAGAGGCTTGACTCTATATAGTTATGTCTCCAACAAATATGTAAATGATTACAGTTGTGGTTTGATTGCACATCGGTATTGCAACCAAAATGGAATAAAATTGCTACCCCAGTATCCTGTAATAAGGTTTGCAGAGGCTCACTATGTTCAGAATTTTCAGTGTACTCATTGTTTGGAAGTCTCTGAAAGCCAAGCATGGATGTATGATGCAATAAAAGATATGAGGCATATGCCGACTGACAGAATTTGAGAAAGGCCACATCTTTGGGCTGAGAGAAGCAAGATGGCCATTTTGATAAACATCTGCCATCTGAACAGTACCAATCTAATTGTGAGGTGGTGTTGAAGACAGTGGATGCATGAGACAAGAACAGACAGCTGCAATGATATATGTTCGTCATCCAGGCACAAGTGGAAGCCTTGCTATGGAATCTTGTCTCTACCTGTACTATTGGCAGGAGACTTGCAAAAACAAAGTTGCACAAATGACAATGGCTGCATTTTGCCATTGGTTGGCACCTCATTATTGGCTTCATTTGCAATGGTGCTGTGACAAGAGAAGCACAGACCACTTCAGATGGTAATCTTGAACAACAGATCTTGGTAGTGTTCCACAACAGACGGCCATTGTATTAATATGTGGTAAACCAATGGCGAGCACTTCGGTCCTGCCTTTACCACTGAGTGGCACACTGCCCCCACTACTGGCATGCCAATCTGGAGAACCATCTTGCATGGTAATTAGTCACCCATATTAGTGGTGCAGTGGACGTCAACGACACAGTGGCATGTTTAGGAAGTCCTGCATCATTGTGTATCACGTTTCACAGCAGGTCTACAGACTGCTGTTTTCTGACAAGATAATGCACATTTAACTGGTTCAAATCAATTATGACTGGAGACAAGAATGAATCTTACACTATAACATGACAAGCAAGCATTCGTGGATGAACAAAGGTTGACCAGCTGTTACAAATATCAAAGAAGTGATAGTGCGGAAGGCAATGATGATCTGCATTTTGGTGGGATATACTGAATGGTACACGACATCATTGTGATGGAGGCAGCTCCATCACAATGATGCCGTGACATGTTGCCATAATGTGGGACAGTAGTGTTGGCATCATCACGGTGTGTAATCATGATTATGCCAACACCACTGTCACACAAGAACTCTACAATGAACAACTGGATTAGTCGAACACAAGATCAAAACACTTAAAAGCTGATACAAGCCAACATTAACTTGTATATGCAGAGTTACAAGAAAGCTAAGAGTTACATAATTTTGATTTTTTGTCTTGAAATTAAGTGGCATTGTAACATTTTGAGTAACATTACATTGTTCAAACTCTGTAAGACATGAATTTTAAGGATTTTAATTATCTTTTACAGAGGAGTCATATATTTCGCTGGGACGGAACTCCCAACATCAAGTGGAACAAAGTGGACCTGATCCTGGAGCTGCCTGCGGAAACTTTGGTCTATGCAGAAATTGTTCAAGAACTCAAGGGNGCATTTTGGTGGGATATACTGAATGGTACACGACATCATTGTGATGGAGGCAGCTCCATCACAATGATGCCGTGACATGTTGCCATAATGTGGGACAGTAGTGTTGGCATCATCACGGTGTGTAATCATGATTATGCCAACACCACTGTCACACAAGAACTCTACAATGAACAACTGGATTAGTCGAACACAAGATCAAAACACTTAAAAGCTGATACAAGCCAACATTAACTTGTATATGCAGAGTTACAAGAAAGCTAAGAGTTACATAATTTTGATTTTTTGTCTTGAAATTAAGTGGCATTGTAACATTTTGAGTAACATTACATTGTTCAAACTCTGTAAGACATGAATTTTAAGGATTTTAATTATCTTTTACAGAGGAGTCATATATTTCGCTGGGACGGAACTCCCAACATCAAGTGGAACAAAGTGGACCTGATCCTGGAGCTGCCTGCGGAAACTTTGGTCTATGCAGAAATTGTTCAAGAACTCAAGGGAGAGGTATCTTTTATTACCAGTCAGCGTATATCCAAAATACAAAATTTAAATACCACAAAAACAAAAAATTAATCCAATTAAACGTTTTAGGGAAGAGCGCAGAGAAAAATCAATTCTATGCACTTGATTGATGCCCTGTACCTGGGAGGCATGGACGTGAGAAATCTGCCTTTTACCGAAAGGTGAGCACTTCGTTACACTTACATAAGAGATCTTAATGAAAGGCTCCCTGTTTAATGCTTTTTTGAGCTTTAACAACGGGGATGCATTCTCGTCGTCCTCACATTTGTAGTCTCGCTTAGCTTAGCTTTGGGTGAAAGAACACTTTGCATCTTTCTTTTAGTGTCCAAAGTTAAGTTAGGCCTTGGGCACTTTTACATGCCTTTGGTCAGACAAAGATGGGGGAGAGTCTTGGCAATTGTGCTGCTCTGTCAGGTCATCTTTGCTTAGTCAGAGCCAGCCGGGTTTATTCAATCCCATAACCCCAGCTTTGTCAGAGCATATCAATGCACACAGGCATAGCTACACTGGCAGGTATCTCTAACTGACCCCAGTTAGCTATTCTCATGTAATGTTCCTATAGTTTTGGTGCCTTCTCCCACCTCTCCTCCTCATTTTCACCTATCTGTTAAAATATTCTTTGTTGTTACCACTTCCACTTGTGTATTTCTCAATAATATATCCATTGGACTTTGCATTGCTTTGGGCTTTTTTATTTTAAATTTTATCATAATACTGCTGCCTACAAAAGGTTTTTGAAAAAATTTTTTGGCAGCCATTTCTATTTGTTTCCATACTTAGGATTAGTAAATCAAAATGCATTGTGGGTAATTGTGTATAACTCAAATACAACAGAAGTGGTTTTTTTAACAATTCCTATTGTAAAACTTCGATTGTAGCTATTGAGCCATAGGAAACTTTTCAAAGTCAAATATAAAAAATCCAGCAACGAGTTGGCAACATTTAAAATTGCATGTGTAGTGTCATCTGTTAAGTTTTTAATAATTAAATATNAACTGTATTATTTCACACGGTTATGACTAAAATAAACTAGAATACTTTAATATAAATTTTTATAATGGAAAATTTGAATAATGATGTTTATGAAACGGGCGGTCATAAAGCGAATATATTATAAATGTGAAGTAAATACGTTTAAAAAAATCCAGCAACGAGTTGCGTAACTTTTCAGTAAATATTTGTGCGCCATCTGTTATGATATTTTGTTTAAAATTGTTTTATATTTTTAACTACTGTAAAATGGCAAAAAGCTTAATTTTGAAGGTAGGGACAGATTTTATAAAGAATTGTACATGCTAATAATGAGTAAAATTTTTAACTATTATAAAATGGCAAAAAGCTTAATTTTGAAGGTAGGGACAGATTTTATAAAGAATTGTACATGCTAATAATGAGTAAAATCGTCACTTAGTCTGACCCTACCGGAGATACACACGACCCCCCTTTATCTCCCCACCCTGTGACTTTTAACCACTTGCCGCTCACTGATTAATTAATTTAATGTAATTAAGCATAAAAAATACTTAAAACTAAAAAAAAAACAAAAGAAATGCGTTAATTTTGAAGAAAAAGCTTCAAAGTTTAACTTCCTTTGTCTCGCCTTTCTGCGAAATTTGACACCGACGAGTCATTGTTTACACAGCTGGATGACCTTGAGAACAGCTGGAGTCATATATCCCGGGAGGATAAGGTTTTAAGGTAGGGTGAATACTAGCTGGCCATATATTTTTAAATATTTTAAAAAAATTAAAATTTTAATTGCGATTTCCGATCCCCCAACTTAATTAAACTTATATATAATAAAATGTATTAATTAAAAAAATTAAAAAACTATTGGAGGTCATTTTTGACACCAGAAAGTAACTTTAAATAAATTTACCGAAGTCAAATCCGTGCACTACAACTTTAGAACCATTAATTAAATTTGATTAAAAAAATCCCATTAAAAAACAATTAAGCGTTAATCACGCGTCATTAAAGGTTGATTAAAATCGCGATAAAATTTTTTTGCATGGGTAAAAATTTTTGAAAAAATTTGGAGACTTAAAAAACATTCCAAAAATAAAAAAAAAATCTTTTTTTCGGGGCCAAAAGTTTTCTGTAACACTATGTAACTTGCCCAAGTTAACTCAGGACTGGACGTCTTATGGTTAATTACCAAAATTTAATAGCATCAATTCTCTTAATACAAAAACCTCCTGAAATTTTCAACAAAAAGCACAGGAGTTAAGCTTCAAATAGGGTGAACAAAATCGTGCCCCCTACATTAACATCCATTCATAAAAAACTCCCGAATTTTTTTGCATTTTTTGAAATTTCAAGGTGTCCCAAGTCTAAAAAATGTAAAAATTTGGGGAGGGGTCATTTTTTAACCGATATTTTAATAATAATGTTTTTATCTACCATTTATAAGTTTAAAGTACTTTTAATTTCTTTGCTCTTGACTTTAACGACAGAGGCTGCCATCTTTAATCTTTTTTATCACATCAAAACAATCCTACCCCGCTCGGATTAGTTTGATTACGAAAGTATATGCACCCCTGGTAGTTTGGTTGTGGGTTTGTGCCTGGCCACGTGGGATTTTCCAGGTTTTCTTCATCTTGGTAACACCTATAGTCTGTCTATTGAAAGAATTGACTTGGGTATTAACCAATCAGCATCGACCACCAATTGCTTAGTTGTGACAAGTTACTTCAGGTTTCTTCCTAGTTTGTTAAACACATTACAGTATTATGGGAGTTTCATGTTCTGGTATTGGAACACGAGGTAGTTCACTATATTAGTTGTTAAATGTACAGTACATTCTTTACAATTAATACACACTATAAAAAATTAACACAATTGACAGAAAAGTCGTTCTGCCATCTCGAGAAAATAAAATAAAACTCACATATTGCCTGACATATTAAGCAAAAAATACTGAGTGTTAAGGAATGTGCCGATTGGTTTAACCGAAGTGATGTCATGCATGACGTTGCTCTCAAAATGATTCTTTCCATAGACAATTTATATACATATCTATATATATAACCCATTCAACGGGTATCTGTCTGTCCCGTAACCGTTTGATAACGGACACTAGAGGCGCTCCTATCGTGTGTCATATTTCAAACAATTATATTAACAATTTTAATTCTTATTTAAATTAACAATATAAATTTTTATTATTCATTTGGCCAATAAATTATTATTTGGTCAATATAACAATATAAATAATTCAGTATATTTGTAATAGGAATTTATTATTTCAGGGGCTTATATCTCTAGAAGAGTCACAAGTAGGGGTACGGTTCCTTTGACTTTATTGTTAGTACAGGGGTCATCACCTCTTCATTCAGAGGGTAAATCTTACCATTCGGACTTTAACAGAGCTGTAGAGCATATTGATAGGAACAAAAAAGTCAAAGGAACCATGCCTCATGGAAATTTGTAAAGAACGCCCACTAGGGGGCGTCCCGAGCTACTAATATATATATAACTTGGTAGTGTCGCGTTGCCTTATGCAAACACAAGGAAATTAACTAAAATGGTTTAATGTTACAGAATGGCCATGGCCAAGAAATTAGTCAAGGCTGTATCCAAGCCCAGTCGGCCAGATTTCATTCCCCTCAGGACCAAAGTCGTGTACAGACTGGAAGATATCGATCAAATATTCAGCAGGTGAGTGACAGTGGCAGCAATTGTCCTTTATTTTTCTAGTATAAGGAAGACAAAGGGAAATGTAGCCGTAGATACAGTTCAATAATGCATTTCGAATGGCCAAAAGTTGCGTGCGGTGAGATCATACAGTCCGTCAGTTGAGTGGTAACATCATAGCCTTAATTCTTTTCAAGCACAGTCTGCCTGTGTACTTTGTTTCCAGAAGCCTCTCCTGTTTCTCATCCACTGCGGAGGGTTTATAATTATCAGGTCTCTATCCCTTTCTGTTTGACATTCTCCTGTCAAACTGTGGACGGAATGCCTCCTTGGAGGAGGAAGAGGAGACTTTCCAGGAGTGGAAGAATTATCCGCTGCTCATCTTTTTGACTCCTTGTTCCTGTTCTTGCATTTTTCTCACTCCCCACTCACGGTACATTTTTGTTTTTCTCTTCTTTAGTGCCTGAAAATTGGAGCCTAAAGATTTCTACTAGGTTTGCGCTAGTCGCTAAACCTCGTATCGGGCACACTTTAGTGGGAGAAAGAATTGCTAGCAATGCTTTCACAACTGATACAACAATCGCTGGCACTAGTCAGAGTTAGGTGAAATGTTTTATAAAAGCCCTTCAGTGGTCATTGTTAAACTGATTAGAAATATAAATACGCGTCTTAACCACCAAAACTCCAAACTCCAAGGTGGCCAAGGGAAATGTCATCACAATGCTGGGTTGCAATTTTTAATTTAAAAATAAACTTTCTGTTCTGCTCTTGATTTCCGTGAATTTAATCATGTGATTCCCAATTTCCGCCGGAATTTCTTATACAGTTAATCAAGCCTTCTGTATCCGGTCTCGATTTTCGTCTATTTATAGTCCAATGAGCTAGAATATACTACATAGAATGGGTGACTATGATTACAGTGTTCTTGGTGGCAACAACAGGAACTATCGACCACCATTTTACTTTAAGTCAAAACATCAAAGTCTATATCACGTGTTGTCACTTTAGAATGTATTTTTCTTGTCTAAATCTATATTGTTTTGTTTGCTCCTAGATTTGAGATTTGAGATTTAGGCAATTTGATAAAAGATCTAAATGTGAGATCTGCAGGTTAATTAGATTAATTACTATAAAATATTATAAGAAAGCATTTTATTTCTGATGAAATTTTAACACAAGGATGTACATTTTTCGTTTCCGAGAAAGGGAGGAAACAAATTTCCTTTCTAGACTGACTAAAGTTTAACACACTGTCCTATGACAATGAGTCAGTAACCCAATCATCCCTATAAAAAAAAAGGACAATTTCCCGCCATTTGGGGCAGCAGTTGATGAAAGGTTCAACCTGCCATAGCACTCAGTCTTCGATGGGTCCAAAGTTGCAGATTAATAGATTTCTACAGAAATACTCTAGACAGGACAACCACATAGAAGTTACGCTTCAGGGTTCAGATTCTCCTCTCAATCTCCTCCCACATAAAGATCGTACATCAACCAAAGACAAGAATAAGCCTCCTTTGTGAAGGTAGTATAAATGATAGATTTATGTAAACTCTCTCTTGCACATAAATTAGCATATATTTGATCTCTCAGTATTTTGTAATTGTTTCATTTAACTTTTATTAAATATTATTGTTGTTTTTATAATGGTCCAGTTAATTAGTCTTCACTCATATCGAGAAGTAGACCTATGATTTATATGGACGTCACATATATCTATATATAGAAGTGAATGAGTTAGGGCACATATTCTAATTACCCTAGCTGGTGTTGGGAGACTGTGATTTTATGATCGTTTGTCTCCACCTTTTTTAATAACAACTATAATCTCCATCCTTTGACTATAGTGCTAGTCCAACAGACTAGAAGCTGATTAAGTGATAGAGAGTATATTCAAGACCCTCTACCCCCAGTCAGAATCTCTCACAATTGTTTCATCTTGAATTTAGCTATTTTCTAGATTTTTTTTAATTATTATAAAGAAGGTAAGCTCAGAGTTTAAATGGTAAGTGTAATACTTAACCCTCAATATAACATTTTTATAATCTAAGTACGAGCCTGGTCTTGAAGGGCTTTACTCTCACCATATGATTATTGATAGTGTACTCCGGAGCTAATAATTGTGGGAAATGGAAGAAGTGTTGCATTTTCCTATAAAAAATAGACAAAGAAAATGTGCCAGTAAGTGAGACAGACTGATATGCAGAAACTGCACCATTAGAATGTGTACAAATTGTGCACTATATCCATCATTCTGGATAACAAATGAATTTCTAAACATTCTTAATATATTCTGTAGCAATGTCTTCTTATTTCAAGTAGGTTAAAACTGTTCCTTTCCTTTGAACACTTTTACACAAAACAAATGGCACACTCCCTTGACTAAAAAGAAAATGGCAGACGTGTATTCAATTTTCTTCCAACATGGCATCGTTACAGCCACTCTATGTAGCATAATCTGTCTATGGAAAGAAACGACTTGGGTATTAACCAATGAGCATCAGCCATTGATCGCTTAGTTGTGGCAAGATTACTTCCAGTTTCTTCCTCATTTGTTAAAACATGTCACCGCCATTATAAACAGTATTATGGAAGCTTTATGTTCTGGTATTGGAATTCAAGGAAGTTTGCTATAGTAGTAGTTAAATGCATCATTATTTAGTTAATGAATGAACGGAAAAAGCCATCTAGTGAGAAAAAATATGTCAGGCAATATGTGAATTTTATTTTTACGTGAAAAGTGCTGATTGGTTTAACTGGAGTGACATCACGCATGACGTTGTCAAGTGACTCAAGTCAGTTCTTTCCTTAGACTATAACTCCATCCATGAGACAAATGTATATAGATTGGCCTGCATTTTTCAAATTGCAGCCCTATTACCCTCAATTCGAACTTATTTACGACTCCACCCAATAATCTGCAGTTAGCCACACCTTACCTGTTTCGTATTTTGATTCTCAAAAGTAACACTGTAAGATGTGTTGTAGCACTCATCCAGAAATTTGGCAAAAGCCAGCTAAATTCTTTCTACTGTTTTATTGGTCTACATTCCCCCAAAAAAAAAAATAATAATAATAATAATGATTGTACAATTTACACAAGACGACGTACACGTTAAAAATGTCATTGGTCCACACGATTTCTCTCTCGTCCTTCAGATTAGAGATGAAAGTGGTGAAAGGAAGTAGCGGAATGCCCCGTCTGTGTTACAAAATGGAAGACGAGAGACATTTTCTGCCCACGGGGATGTTTCTCATCAAGACCATCGAAGGTGAGTGAAGTCCTTTTTTTACACGACTCCATGCATTGGTTGCTCCTCTCTCACCTTTTTTCTTCTCCCGCAGATCCTTGGATGACAGCCTTCAGCAGGACCAATAACAGGAGGTACTTCTTTAATTTGGCCAATGGCAAGAGCACTTTCGACGCTCCCGAGGGAGTCTTTTCCAATTTCAAGTGAGTCCGAAAATTTTTTGTCTGGGGTGGATTTCGGGGGTTTGGCGGCCACTGGAAAAACTGACATTTGCACATTTCAGGTCGTGCTTCTGCAAGCGGTCATTCTGGGCCTGGGAACAGGGGGTGAAGCTGCTGGACTACCACCGGGCCGCCGAGGGAAAAGTCCACCGCCGGACATTCGAAGACTTCGTCCGTGGGCAAAACGACCGGCCGAAGTGACGGGGGGACCACCCCACCATTCGACCCCCCGGTGAAGAAAGGGCCCGCTCACTTGCCCATTCCCATGACGTGACTCATGTTACCCGTGGCAGCACCCTGCAGTTGACGCATCATGCTCTGGAGTCCGCTGATGCCTCCTTTCAAACACAAGACAGAATTTTTATCCACGGATCAATTGTATTTTAAATAAACGAGATTTATGTTGGTAAGCACTTACCCAATTGGTGCAAGACTCTGGGATCCATCATTTTTGCCATCTGTTGGTTTAGCTTCGCCATCTGAACGGGATTGACATTTTTGGCCATGTCTCCACCTGAGCCAATGTAAAAAAATAATAATAAATGTTGCTCTAATTTTTTTGACACCTGACAGAACGGGAGCACCTCAACCAGAATTTTGTTCGTTCTGCCTGGTTCGACACAGAGATAATCCGTATTGGGTGGTAGATTGGCTCCTGCCCATCTGAGCAACTGGGTGGGTAGGAGCCAAGCTAGAATGCATTTTACCTTTGAAGAGTCCCTTTATTCCTCCCATCTTCTTTACCATGGCTGCAAACTTGGTGTACTGTGAGAGCAGTTCTTGCACCTCCCGACTGGTGACTCCAGCACCCCTGGCTACCCTGGTTATCCTTCCGGTCTGTCTGGAAAACAGCTTGGCACCTTCTCTGTGATCCAGTTCTGAAATACACAGAGGGGTGGGTGAAAGGCAGAAGAGGGCGACAGGGTGGAGGGACTTCCACGCACCATACCTTGATCATTCATGCTGTCCATGATGGTCATCAGCTTCTTCAGCCTGGCCATTGATTCCTGTTCGTTTCCCTTCGTCATGAAGTCACTGCTGAATCCCGGAATCATTCCCTAGAAAATAGATGATGGAGACGTGAGAAATCTCTACTGCCAAATGGATATTTCACACATGGTGATATCTTTGAAAAATGCAGACAAACCAATTTTATAAAATCTGGGCAATACCCTCTGTCAAATATTTCCAAAACAATAGACTAAAACTACTTTGTCCTTAAACAAAGAATATTTCTATAATTGCATCGATCGACGAGCCAATGGCCTTGAAATTTTTGGTTTTATTCCCGTATCAATGGGTGTTCCTGTGTAAAATTTTATCATGCTCTAAACCAGGGCTTCTTAAACTTTTTTATTCATGACCCCATTTATGACTGATTTTTTTCGCAACCCAAAAAAAAATAAAATAAAATAAAGATATATACAAATTTGCAAAAACAGTAATGGTGTACTATCACAGTTCACTCTTGTGTTACAATGGAACAGAGACAACACTACTCTAGTTCACACTACAGTGTTGCTGAATCATTGTCTCACTGCACCAGAAGTGACACAAAGCACGCCATTTTCAAACTCTCACAAATTATTTTCAATATTTTGCATTAAAATCTCGTAACCCATAGTTTAAGAAGCCCTGCTCTAAACACAGAACTCTAAGTTCAATTTCAAAAGAAGAATCTGCAGAAACATTTTATTATTTCTGGAGTTTGGAGCCTCTTTTTTTATAACTTGTGCCCTCCTTGGTTTATTTAGATTCTTCTTAGTGACACCAGCTTGTAAGATTAATAAATGGCACTTACCATAATTTGGCTGAAGGGACCCATTTTCATGATATTCTGGAACTGTTCATACATGTCCCTCAGAGTGAATTCGCCTAAACATCCAAATCACTTTATTTTAATGCACTTTAATAATTAAATATGGGTATTTTAAAAAATAACTTGCCATGTTTGAGTTTCTCAATCAGTTCTTCATTGTCATCTAATTTTAATTCGTTGACTTTATCGATGAGGCCTTCAATGTCTCCCATTCCTAACCAATATATTAAATTGTTTATCTCTCTCATCCTAATTTTAAAAGTATGAGTCATCCCACCAGTCCATCAGCATTCTAAAATAACACAGCCTAGAACTTTTCGTTCCTAAAATATAATTTGTTCTTTCTCTATTTGGAGTTGTGAGTGTTATTTAGACTTGCTTAGGGACCAGCAAGAGTGTAAGGAATGACAAGAAAGTCTCTGTCTTACCTAGTAATTTACTTACAAACGGTTTGACTTTGAAAGGCTCGAAGTCGTCTATATGTTCTCCCGTGCCGATAAATATGATGGGACTCTGAGTGGCAGCCACCCTGCAAAAGATTCATTTGCATTGTGTTAATTGCCTTCCTGTTTAAATGCAAAATGTCATGCAGCTGCCAGACCATGTTGCCAACCCCTAAACAGTTTTTCTCCAGGTGCAATATGTATCTGAAAATGTTCATGTTGACAATCCGGAGAAAAACACATTTTCGTTTTAGGATGTGAACACAGTTGAGCAAAAGCATTGTGTGACCAAATGACCCACTCTGGATTCTCGTGTGAGAATGGTAGCGAGTCGCTCGACTTTTGGAAGCTTCTATTCGTTGCCAGACTCCATTAACCGGTATAGGTGTAATTTATGTTTTCACCCTAGATTTAAGGGGGAGCCCCTAAGTTGGCATTATGACCCAGACTTGTCACTCCACCCTTGTATATATAGACTATTCTCGAATAAACAAAATCGTGCGCATGCTCTGAACAAAAGACTGGCTCAAATTTCCGTTCCGTGTTTCCAGTTAGTAGTAACTAAACAACACCTGAAAATTATTTTAATTCGTTGGATACTGAAAGAAAATTAAGGTACAGAGCAATGGCATTCAAACATTTAACAATGCAACCCCAAGGTAATTTTCTGCGACCCTTAGATTGGATAGCACTGGTATAGAGGAAAACAGAAATAAAGATTTGGAATTTCCACATATGCTAGACGAATGCATTGAAAATAACATTTTTAAACAGTTAAAAATTGGACCACACATTTTTTAGACATGTGGATTTGTCTTATACAAACTATGTGTACCTATTCAAGTTTGGAAGGGCTAACAAGTCAATGATGCATCTAGTATTTTCAAATGTTGGGTCTGAAAATATCTGTCAATTTTTTTAAATTTACAATTAAACAGCCACAAAGGAATTTTCTGTAGTACAATATATACAATTAAATGGTATAATAGTACAATTAAGCTAGTCCTGAAATATTCTTATGGCTATAGATTCACCGATTCCAAATCAGAAACTTAATAATTTTTATTAACAAATCCCCTTTCAGTTTGGTCAAATAATTACAGGTCAGTTTATACTGATCTGTAATTATTCTAGTTGTTTTAACACTAACAGTTTGATCTTGATAAATATTAAGTGGATTACCAATCTCTTTTATCATTTTAATAGTGAATGTTCGAACAGAATATTACAACTGTCTGGATATAATAGCATTTTATATTTCTTCTAATATGGTATTAATATGGAATGAAGTTTTGACTGCATTATTGTGCAAGTGACAGTCAAACAAAAGATAGTCTTCTAATCGTTCCACAGAGGAAATAAGCACCGAGGAACCAGGCTATCTTTTGTTTTAGTTTTTGAAAACATTTTTGAAAGAATTATCTGAATTTCGTCTTTTATAGTGTTATATTTTTTGAAATTTGTGCAGAAGCAATGACGATGCGTGGCCTGCATTGTTGAATGGTTGACCCATGAAATTAGTTTCATATAAACAAACATTCTTTTTTAAATACACAATTAATAAAATATTAGTGCTATGAATTATAGCACACTTCTAAATCATTTTCTATGACTTAGGCCTATATTTTGTGAGATGATTGTTTAAAAAAATTATATTTACTTGCAATGAAATGCATTGAGTATCTTATTACAGGTAAACATACCTTCCCGAATGAGGGGCTTCAGTTTTTATGGTGAATGTTTCCCAAAACGCAAAGTCCACCAGATTGCTTTGCATTTTGGGAAACATTCTTATTCTCAAAAGTTTATTTGTTCCAAAAATCTTTGAACGTACGACTATGCAACATACTATTCCACATTTGTGTTTAGAATGTAAATTTACACTGATTATCTCAAACCAATATTTCTAGAAATGTTATAAAATTTGCAACAACAGGAAGTTAGAAATTGGAAGTGTTAATAAGTTCCTTAGCTGCACCATCTGTTGAGAAGTTTATTGCCAAATACAGTCTATAGATTACTCCAAACTTATCTGCGATTAAATTACAACATGAATAGAATTTGTTACAAGTCTCCAATAGAATCACGTCTCAAATTGCATCAAAGGAATTTTCTCTATTGAATTTATTTTACTTTCTTGGTTGTTATGTAAACACGAGGGAAAGTATTGGAATTGTGTCAAATTTGACCCTCCAAGTTTTTGCAAATGTTCACATTTTGAAACCTTTTGAACCCAAAAATGTCAAAAAAGGAGAGAAATTCTGTGAATGTGTGCATTTCATTTATCATCTTGGGATGGAGTAAAGATTAAGAAATGAAATTTGGCACATTAGCTTGTGTATAAGGGGGATTGATGCTATTAAATTTTGATGGTTAAAAGTGGAGGGGAGATCACAGATCACATCTCCAGACAGTCGTGCTTAATGGAAATAGCGAGTAAAATCTTCATTAAATTTGAGGGTAGGGACGAGTTTTATACAAAAATTGTTAAATTTTTGGCCATTTTATAATAATTAATGATATAAAATAACAAAATCTTGTAATGAGTGGAGCCACACACAATTTTATTTATTATGATTTGTAATATAAAAGTTATATTTCAAATAAAATCTCTTAACAGCTGGGAAAGTTCAGAAAAAAGTCTAGCAATAACTTTGCTCGTGGTTCTCAAATTGTTTGAAATGTGTCTAAATTGCAAGAGAAAACATACTTTGGAATTTTTTCCCTATTTTTATATATAAAAAAAGGTACTTACGCGCTCAGTGCTCCTCCTCCCTTTGCATGTCCATCTAATTTGGTCACAATGACGGCACCTACATCAACTTTATCTTTAAAAGCACGAGCCTAAAATTATTATGTATTTATTTAATAAACATAATAAAATAATCCAAATGAAGACTGAGATTCTAAAGCCAGATACTGTACATGTGTATCAATATATCTGACAGGTATATCTGAATGTGCAAAGAACTATCAATTGTTTTTATCCACAAGTTTGGCTATACCTGCCAGGTATAACGGTGTGCTTGTACCTGACTTAAGCAACAATAACCAAAATTAAATTAGTGTTTTTGTGAAAATATGGATTAACAAAAGAAAAGAGCTCTCTACTTTTTGATGCATTCATTAAGAAGTATTAAATTTTTAGAACTTTATTAGAAGTTTTTAAAATCAAGTATTAATTACGACCGTTAGAAAAATAAGGAGGCATACCTGAGCTTCACAGGCTTGACCAATTGACGCATCCATCACGAATATAATATTATCTGGATCCTGAAAAGAATAAATGATAACACCTTAATAATATCAAATTCAAAAATAAAAACTGTTTGGATTGAAAAATTACAACAAATACATTAAAACCTAAATAAAGCAGAATCGTGTGATACTGAATGCTTTCCAGTTTGAACAGGTTTTTTTTTAACACAGAATTACTCCATCCTGGAGAATTTTTTCTGTTTTATCATATTGTTTTTACATAGGTAAAACACAATTCAGTTTAAAAAAGTACAAGTGTTGGTTGACAGGAAAACTCACTTTTTCAATTCATTTTGATGTCCTCAAATTACTTTTGGTTTGATTTATTTGTTTATGGCAACATGATACCCAGGCATCTGCCACAAGGGAATGCCTCCCAGGAGGACTTTCTATGGATAACTGACTCCTATTTAGATGCTACTAATGTGAAGATAAACCCGGAAAACTGCACGTGGCCAGTTGGTTGCCTGGGTACGAACCCACAAGCAGCATTCGGTGGTTTTATCCATTCTGCCATTGGTAGGTGCATGAGCCCATATAATATTGCGTGTGTGTGTATTGTAATGGTAAAATAACTTATTTATGTACAGTACTTACTGGCCATCTTAAATGAGCTATTAATGTGCTGGTCTTGAAGTCAACAGTATCAAAAGCCACCAAAAATCAAACCAAGAGAGCATTGCAATCTTAACAATAACAATAAAAATAAAATCAATTTCATGTGAAGTTTTATCTACTGTATTTACTTTATTATTATAAAATGAAATTAAAACGAGTGGCTTGGCAGAAAGTCATTTTCATTTTTATTCTTTTGGGTGCTAACACACTAATCCAAAATGATAACAAAAACATGTAATTTGACAAGTCAAATGTATTTATTACTAGGTTACTATCAAGACATCCAAGCTTTTCGAGCTGCAGTTTTCAAATTGAAGATCTGTACATTCTCACCACTATTGTTGTTCTATCCTTCATTAATCTGGAGAACAGAATCAGATAAATGAAATCTTAGGGATCAGCAGACCGTAAATGATGTGATTTCCATTAAAAAATTTTCTTGGGAATGGAGTTAGATAACCAGCACAACTCGATTCTTACCGGGAGAAGTATGCTGTACAGGGGCAAGACATCACTAAAATCTGCACCAGATATGGTAAGGTTATGAACCAGAGACTCCAATAAACTACAGTCGACCCCCCTATAAGATCATTGTTTTTTCCGTTTTATCTGAATTACATGTTGTACGAGTCACTTAGATTTTACAAATACGTGTGCCGGGCTGTGAACAGCTCACATATTTGTAAAATCTAAGTGACTCGTACAACATGTAATTCAGATAAAACGGAAAAATCAATGATCTTATAGGGGGGTCGACTGTATATATGAACTTCCAGTTAGGACCAGAAGTCAAGTGATTTTAATTAAAATATGATTTAAAATTGCAGTATTTAAAAACTTTTAAATAATATTGTGACATTGTCACAATAATATTTTAAAGTTTTATTTAAATGGAATAGAAGGAAACATTTTAATGACTCACCGTAGCGTTAGATACTTGTAACATTTCTTCAAATAAAGAATCTTCTTGTTTGTGTCTTCCGCTTGTATCTACAATAATTATTTCAAAATTTTCTTTTTTGAATTTATCTACGCCTTCCTGGGCAATGACTACCGGATCTACTTCTGTGTAACTGGAAACAAAAGAAGATGCAATCTTAAAATCCTTAATGACAAACAAGTGTTTATTTTATTTAATTTACCTTCCATAAAAGGGTATCCTGGCTTTCGTTGCATTCTGCTTCAACTGGTCGAATGCACCAGCACGAAACGTATCCGCACACACCAAAGACGTTTTCCACCCTTTTTTCATGTAATGATACGCTAACTAAGATTGAAAACTTAATTAATTTTGTTAATTAATTATGCAAAGGTAACAAGTAAAGTGAAAGAATTCTGTACCTTTGTACATGTTGTTGTTTTACCACTTCCTTGAAGGCCTACAAACATTATAATGTTTGGTTTTCCCTTGACCGGCTGCCAGGCTTTTACTCCTGGATCCACTAACTAGAAACAAAAAATATTACATTATTCAAGGTTCAAATGTCTGAAAAATAATTAATAGTTTTGATTAGACTTTAAATTTTCAAATAAAAGTTATAATTTTTTTAAACAAACAAATTCAGGCATTTTTTGAGTCCATAGTTTATTAACAATATTTTCAAATTGTGTTTGGTTTTGTTTGATATGTAATAATATTATACAACATAAATCAAAATATGATAATTATGAGGGATTAACAAGGAAAGATGAAAGAGCTCGAGTTGGGACTGAAAAAAACAACAGTTCATGTTTACTAAAGTATCACAAAAAAGTGAAGTGGCAGTGCATGCAAGCTGTCTTGTTGAAGTTGATAGCTAAATACTCAAAACTTTTTACAGAAGGTGATTTCATCAAGTAATGTTTAATTAAAGCTGCAGAAATTGTTTGTCCTGGAAAGTGAAGGCTTTTCAAGCAATCTCTTTGTCTCAAAATAGTGGCAGAAAGCATTGCCAATTTAGCCAACAATTTAAATATTCAGATCAAAGCAAAATCATCTAGTTTCTAAGTTTTTTCCATTGCCTGTGATGAGAGTGCAGACATTGGGGCATAGCTCAATTAGCTGTGTTTCTTCGGGCTTGCAACACAGATTTCAATATTTTTTTAGGAATTATTGAAACTAGTACCAATGCATAACACTAGTACAGGACAAAATATGCTAGATTGTATTTTTGCAGAAATTCAAAAATACAGTTAATCTCTTAATAAAATTGAAGACAGTCTGCCCAAAAGGAAAGGTCTGTTGCCAAGAATGTGTATTGTCTGGAACACAGAAATAATAAATGGTGATCCTTTTTGGGCAGACTGTCTTCAATTTTATTAAAAAATAATCTCCATCGGACGAAAAATTTACAGATGACAATCTATCTCTGTCAAAATTAACTTCTGTAGCTACAGATGGAGCTGCTTCAATGATTGGAAAAAACAATGGTTTAGTGGCATTACTGCAAAAACAAAAAAGTGAAATTTATGACAGATCCAAGATTCACCATATGCATTGCATTATACATCAAGAAGTATTATGCACGAAGGTAATAAACATGGAAAATGTGTTGATATCTGTAAAAAACAAAATCATTACTTTCATAAGATCTTGAAGCCTAATTCAGTGACGATTCTCTGCTTTCTTAAATGAATTATACAGTGAATATTCTGGTTTGTCCTACTATACTGAGATACATTGGCTATCCTGCCCCAAGGTTCTTAAACAATTCTGGGACTTGAACAAAGAAATATGTCAGTTCGTGATAACTAAAATCAAGACACAAGCCTACTTTTTGACACGATATGGTTGCAAGATTTATCCTTCATGATTGATATAACAAAACACTTAAATGATTTAAATTTAAAACTGCAAGGAAAAGATCAGATCATTGTCAACATGCATGACGAAGATATAGCATTCAAATGTAAGCTAGTTCTCTGGGTAAAACAGTTGAAAAATGAAGATTTAATGCACTTTCTGACATACAACATGAACAAATCAAGTTTAGGTGGAACTGCATTGTATCAAAAATACACAGAAGAAATTTTAAGCCTTAGAACCAAAACTAAAACAAAGTTTGCAGTTTTTAGCATATTCCACTATAGTGGTGAAGTGCTTATGTTAGGACTTTTGTCTGTCTGTCAGATTTTCACACGCATGTGCAATGACTTCACTTTCATTACCTAAATGTTATGTTCCATTTAATCCATTTATTGCGCATGTCCACACACGACTTCACCTGTAAAAACTCTTTTCAGACTTGTATTTCTTCTTAGAATCGAAATAAGTCAATTGAAGTCTCTGTATAAATGATAAAAGAATTGAATGTGAAGAAATGTTATTTCATATATTGAGCTTTAACTGGATTATTGTAAATTAAAGACAAAAAAACCTATTCCAGCAATTATTTTTAATTTTATCTGATGCTTTCGACTATCTGTCTAGCCGTTGTCAGGATCGAACACTTTGAATAGAATTCTTTAATATTTTAATACATTCTAAATCATTAGTTTAGAATGTAATATTTAAACGTTTATGTCTATAAACCATATCCCTTACTGTATATTCAGTGAAAAATTCTTCTGAAGAAATACTTGAAATCAAGAATTTATAAAATTTATTTTAAGCAAAATTAATATTTGATTCACTTTTGTGGAGCATGCTATCAGATCAGCTTGACCAACCTAGTTAAATTTTTGGAAGACAAGTTTTCTTTGATTTTTCAATAAATATAGAATCCATACCTAATCAAATGCAAATACAGATAATTGAGATTCAGTGCAATTCAGATTTGAAGGAAAAATTCAGTGAAGTTGGCATGTCTGGATTTTACAAATATTTACCTGCTAGGTTTGAAAATACTCAGAAATCATTTCATATACAAATTTTTGTTTGGAAGTATGTATCGATGTGAACAGTTACTTACAATTATGAAAGAAATACATTGCCCGTCACATCCAGAATTACTGACATTCACCTTGGGTCATTTTTGAAAGTAATCACTGCAAATAAGATTTCTCTGAAGTAGTAAAGATAAATCAATGACAACTGTTGTATTATGTCAGGCTAAATAACAACTATAATAATTATGAATTACTAATAAATTTGACCCAAGAATAGATAGTAGTAGAGAAGAGATGCCATGAATCAGGAAGGAAACATTAATTTTACCATTGTTCTTGTTCTTTTTTCATACTATACTTTCTGAAATAAATATGTTTCTATGAAAATTGAAGGTTTTTTTCCCCCAGCACACACAAATTTAGATCTTGTTTATTTGGTCCATGTCAGCCTTTGAGTTTGACATGTTTGATGTAGAGCAGTGGTTCTCAACCTTGTTAATGCCACAACCCTTTAACACAGTTCCTCGTGTTATGGTGACCCAACAATAAAATTATTTTTGTTGTTACTTCATAACTGTAATTTTGCTACTGTTATGAATCGTAATGTTATGAATCTGATATGCAGGATGTATTTTCATCATTACAAATTGAACATAATTAAAGCATAGTGATTATTCACAAAAGCAATATGTAATTATATATTGTGAAATATTTATTTCTAATTACAAATAAATGAAATTTTGACTTTAAGCATGGTGTAGCATGGGTAACAGTCTTAATATAACAACAGTAAACTACATTGCTATATTTTGTGACAGATTGTGTAAAAGCCAACGTCAGTGCGAAGGTTGAGATTGCTTCTTTCTCACCAGATTAGAAATTCTCAGGGAAGTCTTTGCAAGAGCACAACGAAGATTACCTTCCACAACAAGTCTACTTCTGTATTTAGACTTGATAACCAACAAGCTGGAAAATCCTGTTTCACAAAGATATGTTGTTGGAAATGGAAAAAGAAGGCACAACACAGTCTCAGACAGAACAGGATATGACCAAGCACTTTATCCAGAATTTTGTAACTAGCATTGCAGAGAAATCAGTTCTCGCTGTTAATAAGTTCAATGAACTCCTCTTGTGCTGTCTCAGGAACATCTTCAACTTTGACCATGAATGGGCTTCTGGCAAATGCAAATGAGGAGTCAGGTAGATTTGGAAAGTATGATGAAATTTCATCTGTAAGCATGTGCAAGTGTCCTTTCACAGAAATTATCATCATAATCCTTTTGTCTGGTTCAATGTCATGTCCCTCAAAGAAAGCAGATAAGGTAGGTAACATGTAAATTTTGTTTTCATCCAAAATTTTTTTGCCAAAGCTGAAGTTTCATTTGGAATGATCGGATCTTTTCAGACAGATCAAGATAAGTTGCATTTGGTCCTTGTAGTGATACATTTAACTCATTCAAGATGTCAACCAAGTAAGCTATTTTCTGCAGTTCACTTTTATCGCTGAAAAGTGCTTCAAACTACGATCTTGCTTTCTAATTAAAAAACGTTTTGAGTTCATCATGAAGCTCAAAAACACATTTTAAAACTTTTCCTCTCGACAACCTCACTTCAGTATGAAATAGCAGAGCATTGTTCGGTGCATCCAACTCATTGCACAATTGCGAAAACAGTTAACTGTTTAAAGTGCTCACCTTTACAAAACTGACAGAACTTATGACGCTTTTCATTATTTCTTGTAACTCCTGTGGCAGCATCTCATTGCTAATATTTGCTGATGAATCATACAGTGAGTTCCGATGACTTTTGGTGACTCATTTAGTACCAAACGCTGAAATCCAGATTGACATCCAAGGAGTGGTGTCTTGGTTCCTAAGACCATCGGAAATATGTGTTTTCAGATGATCTTAGGCAATCCTTGTGAAAAGATCGTTCAACCCCAAAGGGGTCACGACCCACAGGTTGAGAACCACTGATCTAGCGTATGCAGTTTCAACTTTTGGGAAAAAAATTTAACCTCAAAATTCATTGCTTGGGATAAAATTTGGCAGCTCTTCCCTCAATGTGTATATGGCAAACATTTATTAACAAATTTCAAGTGTAAAAAGATCCTCAAAACATTCTTCACAATTATTGAACAGGTGAATGCAAACTTTGCCCAAATATGCAACATTCCAATGTCTTTCAGATAGAATGTGATAACTCCATGTGAACCACTGTCGAGCATGTTGCATAGCAAATTCAGTTGTTAAAGTGCAGAGATGGAGGGTATACAGAGTCATATCTTAAATATAATTGAAATAAAATTATTGCGTTGTTTCTTAACTTATATGCACATTAAGGAAACAATATATAGACTAAATATGGTAGAGATTTACACAATAGTTCCTTCTACAGAGGATGAACAGCTACCTTTTAATTATAATTGCCCTATATTTGAAGATTTCTCAATACTGCATTGGTTCTTTGAATGTAAAAGTATGGGCTTTAATAACAAGGAAATTATAAATGTGCCAAGTAACAAAGAAAAAAATATAGATGTATTCAAATGCCATTCAATAAAAATTGTTCTGTAACTTTTATTTTTAAATTATTTTAATTATTCCCTTCTGTGGTACGTAACCCTTAAAGGATTAAGAATTAAAACTAATCCAATTCATTTAGGTAATCCCCGACATATCATTGGGGATTATCTAAATGAACACCTGATGGGTCTGTGGCTGTTACATGGAACATGTAACAGCCACAGACAAAACCTTCCACATGTGACCACCCCAGTCACCAGATATCACAGCATGCAATTTCTTTCTGTGGGGTCTCATCGAGGACAATGTTTACATCCTCCACTTCCAACAATGTTGCCAAAATTGAAACAGCACATTCGCATGCATCACCATTGGGAATGTCATGTAAGACACACTCCAGAAGATATGGCAAGAATGGGAGTAATATGCAGAATCTGGCATATCACACAAAGCACATGCTGAATGCATTTAAAGTCAGTACAAAACCGCAAATATCCCTCTTTCAAAATAGTGATAATATCATATTTTATTCAGTATTAGTGAAATTATAATCTTACAAAATTGTTCAATAATTTGTGCAACCCTATATAATTAATTTTATGTGATTTGAAAATATTTCATAATAAAAAACTTCCAAATATCTGAATTTATTTATCTATTATAACACACTTCATTGAGCCAGAAAAGTTCCAATAAAATAAAGAATGTAAATTTATTTTTAGAAGTTTCAATACTGCAGAAGTTTTGTTTATTTCACAACTTGGAGTTGATAATCGAATTTTGAAATGTGGAAATCATTCTGTGGTTATTTTTCAAAAATTAAAACTAAATAACATGTTGTAACTTTTTGATTAGTTTTAACAGATTTAATTCTTCTTTTAAACATAAAGTAATAATAGTCACTAATTACCAGTATGTTATTTATTATAATTGCAAGTTTATGTTATTCATTATTTTAAATTATAATTTAACACAATGGCATACCTTTACTAATTCTTTAAAGACGGCCGTCTGTATCATGCGACGTTTGTTTAGACCGGCAGCCATTTCGTCGAAATCGATTACGGATCTATTAACGACAGCAAAAATTAACAAATTAATCTGTAAGTTAACTTTACTATATATATATATATATATATATATATATACAATAAATTAAATTAAATTATATAAAAGTTTACACAAAATCTTGTTCTAAAAGCAAATCCACAAGTTAAATTGAAACAAATAAAAATAAAACTAAACAACTTGTTGAAAATTACAGATTTCAAGTTACTGATGTATATAAACAGTCAATCCTTTATCCCAAAATCAAGATTATTATTTGGTGAATTATTAAACTATTTTTTCAGAGTATTTTCCTTTCGTTGTATTAATGTACAAAAATGTACAGATAGATTGATACAAAGTACATTTTGTACTTTGTATCGATCTATCTCCATCTTCAGATATAATTTCAAACAAGACATTAATTTAATAAAAACCTTAGTCTTATAAAAATCTCTGGAAATAAGCAAAATGTTATGAATGTATCTTATAGTATCCGAGTAGTAGTTTCTTCAATTTTCACTATAATAATTTCTATAATTGTTTAAAATTAAAATTGAAGATGGTCTGTTGAAAAAGGAGTCACCTTTTATTCACTTTCACTGTTCTGCAATACAATTTTTGACAACGACCGACCAATTTAAATTTAAAATTTAATTACCATCTGATGATATTCTAAATTGAATCTGACATTATTCTATAACTGTTAGCTAAAGGTAAACCCATAAGGACATTAATATTTTCTCTGAAACATGTATCATTATGCTTAAGTTATTGTCCATAGATTTAGCTTTTTGTTTTAAAGAAAAGAGCTATTGAATACTAATAAATAACGTGTCCTTTATATCATATGATAATTGTTTACTTTTTACTATATATTCTAGTTGTGTATTAATTATAATAAAGATAGTTTTTGTATTTACTATCATTATATATGTAAAAATGTTACCACCATCTTCAAGAAATCAAACTTCTATATGGTTGAAGAGGTCTTTTTTTATTTTAACACACAAAACATTTTTGAGCTTCCTCTAGCTCATAATCAGATACTACAAACTCAATCCAATGAAACAAAAGAACATCTATTCAAACATTTTCATTACGAGTTTGACAAAAAGTACATATGAAGAGGAATAGAAACTTAACACATTTAAAGTTTAAGTTTTATAAAGTATTCTTAAATAATAACTTTTAAACATGCACACTTTTTGTTGATCCCAAGTCTCCTAGAGGTAATGCTCTGGGAAATCTTGGATCAAATTGGATGAAACAGTAAGTTTGGATATATCGGGCCCATTCCTCACCACCTGGCTATCCCATTGTGGGCCTGGACAAACCCATAATAGGCTTCCTAAAAAAAAGGCCCTCTTAGTGTCCATAAAACAGAAAGAGTTTAAAAAAACTACATGTGAATCTTATGTGACAAACTTTTAACTGTGGAGATGATATTTTTTTTTAGTTTAATAGTTATGTGTCCATTTACTTCAATATATTTGCCATTTGCAACAAATATTACAACCCATACAATTAGTAGACTATGCCATATAAGTTTGCCTATATACAGTACATTTTGTGATATTTGCTTAATGACATATTTTTCAGAAGTATCTCTGTCATTAAGCAGTGTTTTTGTGTTTACAGTTAGCAGTGTTGCTGTATTACACACTAAGTGTAATAAAAATTTATATAAATATGAAAAACATACATAAAGAAAAAGTGGAAGAAATGAATTTACCTGGTTCATATGTTTATTTATTTATTTATTTATTTTTAGATACATTTGGTGGCATATTTACTTGAACATAATTTGCCATCAAATTTAAAATGCACAGTGATTTCTACATGCTCATTTGAGAACTGTTTTTTGAAAATATAGAGAACTTGAGAGAAATTTATGTCAACAAAAGAACCGATTCTGTCAACATAAATTTGTTCAGTATTCCTCGCAATTGAAGTAAGTTACGTATCACTATCTTCCATGGTATTGAAGTCAGAAACACCATTTTCCATGTTAGGCTCTTCTGGATCAACACTTGATTCAATGTTCACACAATCCTCCTCGGTGACATTTAAAGCATCAGAAATGCAACGTTTCTCAAATGAGTGTCATACAACTTTTTATGGGATTTTCATCCAAGTACTTATAATGTTACCATAATAGACTAACAGGAACAAATTAAGGCAACATCTTAAATATTTACTATTCAGATATTGACCTAATAAAATCATTAGCACAGTGGAATTAGTGACTGAGGAACAAGATGCAGAGCATTAATGGTTGCTAATTATGATGTATTGTATTACATCAAACTTAAGATGCATCTTACTTTTCAGATATACTAAAAACCTGAAAAAAATTAATCTTATGTTCAAGTAAATATGGTAATTGTGATAAAAATTTGAATTAAGCAACCATAAATATATAAGAAAGTTGGAAACTGTCGTTATACAATGCATATACTTTTATCGTCATAGGCATAAGTTTCTTAATTGCCAATCTTATAGTTCTCAAATATTGGTAATTTTCTGGTGATGAGAGAGATACATTTGCTTAATTGATGAATTAACATGAAATTTTTTCAGGCCCTAGTTTTACACCATATTGTGATTTTGTGAAATTAAATTTTTTTTCAATAATTTTTTGTTATTTTGATTAAAACAATAAAATTATTTTATTACCTGACATTTTCTCTTAATTGTTTAACAAGTTTTATATTAACGTCAGCTTCTAATAAAGCCGTACATATTTCCTTTAACATAGAATCCAGTACCTGAAATGAAATCATTTTTAAATATAATTACATAAAAATAATATGTAAANTACATTTTGCCCTTTCCAGTAAATTGAAAGTACATTTAGATTTTTAGTACATTTTCAGTACATTATAATATTTCAAGTACCATTTACGGTACAAATTAATATTTCACGCCTTAACGAAAAAATGAGAAAAAATCAGTTTAATAAAGTCTCACTAGTGTCACTGCTTGCTAATTTAAATTATCCAATCACAACATAGAAATGGTGTGTGTCTGTCGACGTCAGCAACATAGATATAGTTTATAGATATAGATATAGATATAGATATATAGATATAGGTATAGTTTGAGTTGGACGTGTAAACGGTCTTGACTCAGTGGTTTTCTTTCGCACGTTCAGTTGTCTGCACATTCTCATCAGGACCTTGACAAAATTTTTAATGCCACGTGGTCCAAACAATTCAACTACGTCAAACAAAAATAACGGACAGGTAAGGAAATCAATGATTTTCAACTTTCGTCGTCAATAATATCAAAATATCCGTTAAGTCAAAAACAAGTTTTTACAGAAAATAGTTTTGAAATTGTACGAGTATAAATAATATAAATAATTTTATATTATTTTCTACCACTATAGTTTAATTCTTTAATTATGAACTTCAATTTTAGTAATCGTAGTAAAAGAAATAAGGCTTAATGTTACGTATGGTTCCAAAATGGCCGCGCTTCCGACTGTTCCAAGGTGTATATAAGAAGGTCAGGACATGCGTGATCTATTTATTGAGCCGCCATTTTGGGGATTTTTGAGTTGCATGTTTTAAGCAAACTTGTACGAGCAGTCAGTTTTATATGACATTAATTAAACTAAAATTGCATAAATCCTGTAATTTCCAGTCAAAATAATATAATAATAATAATTTCGGATGTTTATGCAACCCCATTTTTATGTAACGCTTTCATCAAATAGTTTAAAAGAAACAAGCATCCTTATCTTTTGCTGTCATGATTGAAATTAGTTAAATAGGTAATAAAACTGATGCAATTACGTACATACCACTTCGTAAAGTGATGCAATAACATTTAAAGTATAATTTAAAGTAGTTAAATAGGTAATAAAACTGATGCAATTACGTACATACCACTTCGTAAAGTGATGACAGAATAATTAAAGTATAATTTAAAGTATGATTTTATTCTCTTCTAATTCTAATTGATAAAACAGAAGTTCATTAATCCAACACCCGATAATTCAGAATGTCTGGTAATCAGGCATCCTCCGAAGAGTAGCCAATAATCCAGATAATAGTCCAGCACGCTAGTATTCTGCAGATCAGAATTGATTTTGGACATATGGTGCACTCAAAACTCCATAGTCTGTATTGTGTTGTGCTAAAGAAACATTACTTCGTTAGAATTAGCATGGGTGTTTTGTGTTTGGTAACATGAACAACTGATGTATCTTCTCTTCCACCAGCCAATGCACAGAGAGTATACCTAAATTTCTCATGATCACAAGTGTGACTTTTGTGAACTGAACATATATAGTATATATCTGGAAAATAAATATTACAGTACAAGCACACAAACCATTGTGAATGTTGATTTTGTGAAATAAAATGTCCATTAATGTTTTTTGCAGGCTTTTCAATCAATTTTAACATGGTAGTCATGCATTATATCGTCTTCTGACTGATTTAAGAGTGTGCATTAACAAATCTGAAGCACACGCAGCATGTATTGCAAAATGTATGACAATGCCACAACATTTATATCACATAGGCCTATAACAATCAAATTTTATGGAAATAAAAAATGTTCAGTAATCCAGCATTTTCAATACTCTGTCACAACTCTGGTCCTGTAGAACTCTACAGGATCAAAATAGTGTATTGTAAATTTCTCTATCATTGTATAGCAAAATTTGAAAATCACAATATAGACTCTCTAAAAGTACAGGGTGTGTTTTATACATATGTCTTCATCGTAGACTTAGGCTTTTATTTAAAATTTTATTTTGTCTATAAAAGCACAAGATGTTCATTTCCTTTTTGGTTTCAGGATTAGGTGTGGACATCTACAAATGTGAATGCTGCTATTGTTAAGGATTATCTTGAAGGACTAAGCTTCTATTGTACTATTTTAGATGAGATTTTTTGCATTTTTGACTGTGTTTTAGTAGGGTATGCCATGAGAATGCACTTAAGAAGGGATTTTTGAAAATTCCACCCCCCAAGGGAAGAGGAGGAGAGAGTTAGTTTTAGTCAGTATAAAGTGTAAATAATAAAGAAGGAAAGTAAATAGTGGCACATATAGTATACATTTTGGAAATGAATAAATATTTTAATCACTCTTTGAGTAACCCAAAAACAATAAATCCAAAATAAACAAATTTGAAATATAATGTTCCAACAAGTTTTTTCAGATTTTAGAATTTAAAATTAATCATTTTATTCAAATAAGGTTATCATCAAGTAAGTTAATTCTCCATTATAATAAGAATTAACTTACTTGCCTGAGCATCTGCTAGTTAATTAATAAAAGAGTACACTAAAGTAGAATTTTTATCTCCCTATTTTGACTGTGTACCACATAAACTGCAAAATTTGGCATTTATACCTATATAAGCAGTGGAAAGGGCACCTAACAAGATAATGATCTTGTTAGGTGTGTAATTATATGTGAAAATACAATTAGGATTATTAAACAATAGCAAATGTATTTCCACATGGCCTACTTTTGATAATTTACAAGTCAAATTATTGTCAGCCAGGATTTGGAAGTTAAGAAAAAGATAAAAACCCATGTGTTATTTTTTTAAACTAGACACAAAATATTAAGACAATAGCAAGGTTGTGGCCAACGTACACGTTTTCAACATGAAAACGTGTATGTCCGACATTCAGTGCCACCATCCTGTAAGCCTAGAAGTTTGACAATGGCATTTGGAACGTCAGTGGAATCATGTTTGACATTCCAAATGCCATTGTCAAACTTCTAGGTTTACAGGATGGTGGCACTGAGTGTCTGATGTATACATTTTTGCATTGAAAACTTTGACCACAACCTCATTAATAAGAAACAATAATATTATAATATCTCCTTCTACACTGACATGTAGAAGGGGACAAAAGCTAGAGGATTTACAATTATCCCTTATAGTACTTACAATTACTCCTCCTCAATGGAGCAAACATAAAATTGGATATATTAAAAAGATTTTTCCCCATATTATTTAATTACAAGTAACTAAATAAATTTTGTAATAAAACTGGAAAATGTTTTTATCACCTCTACTAATTCAGCCCAGTAAGGATAACTGCATATATATATACAGTTGTACTTTGTTAAGTTGCAAAATATTGTAAATAGTGTGAAATTAATGGTTACATTTCATTATTCATCAGTCTGAAACAACGGAAAAGTGATGTTATCAGCGATTGATTGATTTAGAATTCTTCTGTACACAGTTTAGTTGTCTAGTATTAGTTTAGTTTTAGATTATAGATTTAAAAAAATAATAATAAAAAGAAAAAAATTAAAAAAAACAAAAAAAAAGGTATTTCCATTAATATGTATTGGGTGCTCACGTACCATGTAATCTGTATTATTATATCATAGTAAGCTGATATTTACATTCTCTCTGTGTATTAAAATTGTAACCAGTTCTTATTATTATTGTAACATTGCTGTGTTCATGGTTATTTTCTACCTACCCACATATGACGGGTTTTGCATTTTACAGTACTGTAATTGTTAATATTGTATAACGGTCTTGTCAACTTTTGTAATTATGGCTATTAATAATTTCTGATACAGTGCTGAGAGGTCCTAAGAACTTTTTTCACCTTTACTTTTCCCCCTTTTCCTTTATATTTCTTCCTTCAGAACCCTTCATTCAACCTTTTCTTCACCCCTTTCTCTTCCTAGTGGGCTAAGTTTGCAAAAGCAGGCATTCCCTCCTCCTTCTTTATTATTATTAGTATACATCAGTCTCTGCCACAAATAATGCACTGATGAGATAAGCTTTTACCAGAACTTCTGACATTCAAATGAGAGGACAGAAACAAATGGCACTATATTGGCATTTGCAGACTTATTTTGTCAAAGTAACTTTGGGTTAATACAGAGGCTTAATAAATATAACTACGAAGAGGGCCATACTGCTTTGTCACAGCTTGCCATATCCACGGCTCGACGAGTTCCATGTGCATCGGTCACTGCACCAAGGGACTTACAGTTAGTAAATATTGGAACACATTTTAGCACATAGTGGTTCATAGAGCACTGATTGATGCAAGCTGAAAGGTACCCAATACTGACTTTACAATTACCCCACTCATCCCTAACGACTGGATTAAGAAATTTCTACTGTAAGTTCAAGATTGTTTTTGGTTTTAGTCTCTATTTTTAATTTTCTATTTTGTAATTTAAAAAATATACTCTCTTGCACTATACTAAATTCAATTTTCACTTACAATGAAGTCAGCCCAAAATGAGGCCAAAATCATTTTGAAATAAATAATCTTGATATAACTTGAAGGTTTATTAATTAATTATAATTATTATTAATAATTGATAGTAATTCAGTCAAGTATTGTTATCTGCTGTTTTTCTGCAGTACTATCTTTAATAATAGTTACCATATAATTGAAGTAAGAAATGCCAGCAATTTACACTACTGTATGGTAACCAAATAATGATTAAAATTATTAACACTTAATATTTAAAGTATCAGTTAAGACTAACAGCACAGCTTGGACAAAATGGCCTTGTACCAAAAACACAACTGATTGAAAAACAATAAACAGAACAGTTTGTTAGGAGTCACTACTGTGACTCCTCGCCAAGTAAAAAAGTCACTGACTATATATATACAGGAATCAGAGTTGCCGATTTTCAGAGGTCGATTTCTCACCTCCCAAACACACAAAGTAATTTCAAATATCTCATTGAAAAGAAAATTTGTTTTCTTAGGAAGCATGCAAAATTTAATGCAATGCAGTTGCCAAAATAT